GAGTCAACGCTTTAACCACTAGGCTACCCCACGCCATCGCAGGTCGAGGGAAATGAGAGGTCTAACCACTCTTGCCTCTGACAAAAAGATATCTCCTGATATAAGAACGCTCAATAAGTCGAAAGCAACTACGCCAGTTCTGACGGAGTGCTCAATGTAGTATGTTCGGGCGATGGAGATTGTCAGTCAATCTACAGGAACGCTCACATTATAAACAAATTGTAGAAATTGTGAGGATCGGTGACCTCAGGAACGCTTTTTGGCCAACAAAATAATTGTGCGCCCAGGTGGAGTGATATAGGTAGTAGATCGCTGCCTGGTGACAATCCTTGCATAATGCAGTGACCTCTGAACTCGGTGCTTGACTAGGCAAACCGCTCACGGTGTTTCTGTCCGCCACCCTCAATAAGCAGTCTCTCTCGACTGGCTGTCAAAATCCCGACACAGTCACTCTTATCGAATGGCAGCGCTCGCTGTTACTTGCATTTATAGGCTGGACTTGGTATCCGATTCGTGGGACCAAGAGAATTCTGCAAGGGCACTTCATAGTCACTCTAATCATCAAAATTCCGTAAACAAACAGTAGTCCGCCATTTGCAAACGCTACACACGAAAGTGACAAAAATACGGACAACCTGGTCTTTGGTTAACCGGGCGAAGTCGCAAACCCATAAATTCGGGCTGAGCTATGCTGGCTATTTGACAAAACAGTGCCGGTACCATGCTAAGAACTTCATCCATTTGTTATCTGTCCAGAAACTTGCTTAACATGTAAAACAAAGGAGCTGAAGATGACGAGCCGCCTGCAACAATTGCACCAAGGATACACAAACACGCTTCGTTACGAAAGTAGTCTGTAGTAACAAGACTCATCGGAGCCGTCAGAGTATTCCTGGCTCGCAAGCCGCATCTAGTTATGCCATATCGGTGGTTGCAGAACTGATATCTACACCGGCGGTAGAATCGCTGAACCGAATCATTCATCAAAAGTGAAGATCGGATGGTAGATTAAATCTGAATGAGATGAGCTCCGTCACGGAGGACTCTTGAGAACTGGGATCGCCAGGCCGCCAAGTGCCGAAATGCGATATCTCTAGATGACTGCGCTTACTAACAACACATGTAAATCAAATCGGCATGGTGAAGCACATAGCTACTACCTCTGTACATTGATCTTGAACGCCAGGTGAACTGGTTCGACGATAGGGAGCTTTCGACCTGGTGAAACGATACGAGCCGGCTGGTAAATCAGTTCAGGGTGGTGAGCCGAAAGTTGACGGATCTGAATCAGTCCGATGTGATCTGAATCGCGGATCGATCTGGATCGGTTCGGTAATCCGAACCGTTAAATGATCTCAGCTGATGGAGAGATCTAGAACGCCAGATGAACCAGTGAGGCGAGGTGAAATGTTCCGCCGAGGTGAATCGCTTCGCTGCTGTGAATTGAATCGATGATGTGAACTGTTTCGCGATAAGAAACAGTCTTAATATTATGGCAAACTGAGTCAATGTCGATTCACATACGGGCGGCTTAAACGGTTCGGTCTGGTGAATCCATTCGTATGTATGGCTTAACCGATTCGGTGTGGCTTAATCGGTTCGGTCTGGTGAATCCATTTGGTATGGCTTAACCGATTCGGCGGGTGAACCGGGTTTGGCAATTTGATGGTACGGTCTGGTGAAACCATTCGGTATGGCGAAATGATTGGTGTGGTGAATCCATTCGGTATGGCTTAACCGATTGGTGGTGAATCCCTTCGGTATGGCTTAACCGATTGGGTGTGGTGAATCCATTCGGTATGGCTAAACGGGTCGGTCTGGTGAATCCATTCGGTATGGCTTAACCGATTCGTGTGGCTTAATCGGTTCGGGCGATTTGACGGCGTAGATCGGATGTGTGAGTCAACTGGCAACACAGAGCGCTTTGATGAGGCGGAACCACGAAGACATCTAATGATGCTTCCATAAAATTATCACCGCTCGACATGGGAAACTGCGGACGACGAAAGCAGTTAATACCGGTCGCTAAAAACGGGGTTTGTCGGGTGATCAACTGTTGAAGTGTAACGAGCTCTGTCTGCCAGCCATCGGGAGCAAGTATGTCTACATGCTCTAAAAACGCCCTTAATAAGGGAGCACATTCCCCGGCAACGCTTGCTCCAGGAACATGACGATTGGGGATCCGAGGAAGTAAATATTGTTACAGTGTGCGCAAAATTACGCTTACTGAGTCTAGACTGACAAGACGGATATCCTGATTCACCTAAAGTGAATGAGACCGACTTCGAGAATCACTCTGACGAAAACACACCTTACGGCTAGGTGAACCGGATCGAAATGGCCAACCACCTCACCAGGCGCAGACTGAACGACTCACGGAATCAAAACGCTGATGGTGTGTCAACTGAAACCTATGTTGAGGTGAACTGAGTCGGAATGTGAACCCGCTCGTCCTGGTGAACCCTTCGAAAGTACGCGAATCAGTTCGGCCAGGTGAACCCATTTGATTACGCGAATCAGTTCGGCCAGGTGAACCCATTCGAGATGTATTGGTGAGCCGCTCGGCCGCAGCCGGTTCGTGTGAGCCGGCTCGCCATGAGCCGGTTCGCTTGTGTGAGCCGGCTCGGCCGCAGTGAGCCGGTTTCGCTGCTGTGTGAATCAAAACGCTGTGGTGAGTCGAACGGAAACACCTGTTGAGGTGAATTGAGTCGGAATGTGAAGCGTTCGGCCCCTGGTGAACCTATTTGAGTACGCGAAACAGTACGCCAGAGGAACCCATTCGACTACGCGAATCAGTTCGATCAACTGAACTCATTCGAGGATGTTCTGGTGAGCCGCCTCGGCCGTGAGCCGGTTCGGCATGGTGAGCCGGTTCGGTAAGGTGAGCCGGTTCGGCTATGTGAGTCGGCTCGGCTGTGTGAGCCGGCTCGGCGATGTGAGTCGGTTCGGCAAGGTGAGCCGGTTCGGTAAGGTGAGCCGGTTCGGCTATGTGAGTCGGCTCGGCTGTGTGAGCCGGCTCGGCGATGTGAGTCGGTTCGGCAGGCTCGGCGGGGTGAGCCGGCTCGGGAAAGTGAACGAGACCTAGAACGACTCTTGCCAGCCGTGGAAGAACGCATTCGAACCTTCGCACCAGATGGTGATTCAACTCGCGGGGGTGAATTGTTCCGCTAGATGAAACCGCGGAATTAGGAGAACGGGTACGCTCCAACCGCTACCGATCCCCGCTTTGACGATGAATGCTTAGAAGTTCTCGGTCTGTGATCGCTCAAGAAACAGACCTACGAGATAATGTAGATCGCAGGTCTGGCGAAGAAGAAATATCGGTCATTACCACCCTGGTACGCCCCTGAGAACGTGAACTGGGTGAGGGAACCTCCCCTAAAAGCCGCCTCACGCTCTCAGATAAATAGGAATCTGACGGTTGGCCCATAAAATCTTCGCCAGGCGAGACGGCCGATTGAGAACGGTGAGCAGTGAGGGTGGGGCGATCTAAGCATTGTTTCTTAGCGGAGATGGACCAGACCCCGCAGAAATAGTCCTAGCCCTATCTGCCAAACGCCTGGCACAAGCACGCTTGTAAGATTTAAACGCCATTAGACAGACCTGAACACTTAGGACAGCTGCAGGTGTCCCAGTCACAAACACCCACACAATCAACACACGATGTGTGAGGGTCCCATGCTGAAAATACTTTATTACAACGGACGAAAACTTCCGCTTACTGGCCTTAACAGGCTTAACCATTTTGAGCAATTCTCAGATCTAAAATTTTTCACGCCCACTCAGTGGAGCCACAAGAAAGAGAATGAGTATGTGAGGTGATCACGCAGGTGAGGATCATGCGATGCCTCGTGCTGTCATGGACTAGTGAGCACGACTGACACAGAAGGCACGCACAGCACGGGAGAGGGCAAGGTAGGCCTTGGAGCAAAGTTTTAATTCGCTTCCACTCATGGTCGAATGAAGAGAGAGAGGTGCAAGTCGTGAGATAGGATAAGTTTAAAACCCATGTGGGGAATCAAACTGGGTCTTCGGGCGCGGATGAGCAAACGCTTTAACCATCAGGCTACCCCACCGCCCCACGTCCTGATGAGACAATACAGTGATTGATGTAATGATAGATAAAGGTAGTGAGTGAGTTTTGATCCGTGTTGTTGGAGCATAGTGACATGAAGCCTGACCACCCTGTATTGTCACCATTTATGACAACACAGATCGCTGGTGACAAATTCCAAAACACAATCATGGGTTCTTGATTTAGGAACCTCTAAAGAACAACGCAGGACACTGGGAACCAATTCTACCCTGGAATATGACATCTACACCACTGAAGATTACAGAGAAAGAACCGTGAGCAAACTAGGACTGAACAACAGCAATGAATATATGTTGGTTTACGTGAGCCAATCACATGTCAGCTTTGCTATTTACTTACATACTATGAAGTAAACAATGCCTTTTAGAAAGTGGTCAAATGTAACATATGTTATATTTGGGATTACACTTTCTTAGTAAAGTACAGATTCTAGTACTTTTGTTGGTTTGAGTCCAATCCAGGATTCGAACCCGCACCCTCAGAGTCAGGCACCTAATCGCCAGCACACAAAGTCAGACGCCTAGACCGCTCAGCCACAGCAGCTTCCACAAAAAATGGAAGTCTGACAACTGGTAGTCTAGACTGCGGACTTTGGGTACCCCTCTGATAAGTGTTAATTGGCACTGCTCCCACGACCGAAAGCTATGAAAGCTTTGATCCATGTTGTTGGTAAGAAAGTGAAATTCCAAATATAACATATGTTACATGTTAAATGGCATTGTGTACTTCATTACTTTTAGTCGTGGGTGCCGTGACAACATGGGTACCATGTGTAAAGCCCATTTCTGGTGTCACTCGCTGTTATTTTGCTGAAATATTGCTAAAAGCGGCGCAAAACCAAACTCACTCACTTGCTCACTCAGTCACTCATACAAAGTTTTGATCTGCTTCCAACTCCCTAATGTCAAGCTGGGTCCTCCCTCAGGGGGTATGCCAAGATGAACATGATCATGTTACAAAGCCTGTGACTCACCTCCATACCAACAGGTGGCTTCTTTGTCCGTGAGAACTTCTCCAGCTCACCCCAATCTCCAGCTTCTGCCAGAGCATTGATACGCAGTAGCCAGTACCTGTATGGTGGATATATACAAGAGTCGGTCATAAGTGTACTGACAAACACCTTCAGTGCTGAGTGATGGATTACCTTTGGAAAGCCGAAAGTGATAAAGATGTGTTAACTTAAGAGAAATCTCACAAGCATGTGGAAAGTACAGACAAACCAAGAATCAAAATCAGGGCACGTTTGGCCTTCCACTCAAGCCTGGAAACAACATCCTATATCTGTATGATGATGCTGGTTACACATTGACACTTGTCAATCTGTCAATGTTGTTGAGGTTGTCATTCACAAACAAGGATTAACCAAACTGGGCTAAAATTACCCACATCTGTATCTCACCTAGCCAATGCTCAAGTCCATTGTTGATATCAACTACAAAAGCTGAAACTATGCATATCACAAACCACAACCATTGCTGTCACAAGCTACAACCATTGCCGTCACAAGCTACAACCATTGCTGTCACAGGCTACAACCATTGCCGTCACAAGCTACAACCATTGCTGTCACAAGCTACAACCATTGCCGTCACAGGCTACAACCATTGCCGTCACAGGCTACAACCATTGCTGTCACAGGCTACAACCATTGCCATCACAAGCTACAACCATTGCTGTCACAGGCTACAACCATTGCTGTCACAGGCTACAACCATTGCTGTCACAGGCTACAACCATTGCTGTCACAGGCTACAACCATTGCTGTCACAGGCTACAACCATTGCTGTCACAGGCTACAACCATTGCTGTCACAAGCTACAACCATTGCTGTCACAGGCTACAACCATTGCTACAACTACAACCATTGCTGTCACAGGCTACAACCATTGCCGTCACAGGCTACTACAACCATTGCCGTCACAAGCTACAACCATTGCTGTCACAGGCTACAACCATTGCCGTCACAGGCTACAACCATTGCTGTCACAGGCTACAACCATTGCTGTCACAAGCTACAACCATTGCTGTCACAGGCTACAACCATTGCTGTCACAAGCTACAACCATTGCTGTCACAAGCTACAACCATTGCTGTCACAAGCTACAACCATTGCTGTCACAGGCTACAACCATTGCTGTCCCCAGGCTACAACCATTGCTGTCACAGGCTACAACCATTGCCGTCACAGGGCTACAACCATTGCTGTCACAGGCTACAACCATTGCCGTCACAGGCTACAACCATTGCTGTCACAGGCTACAACCATTGCTGTCACAGGCTACAACCATTGCCGTCATACAGGCTACAAAAAGCCGTCACAGGCTACAACCATTGCTGTCACAAGCTACAACCATTGCTGTCACAGGCTACAACCATTGCTGTCACAGGCTACAAACATTGCCGTCACAGGCTACAACCATTGCTGTCACAAGCTACAACCATTGCTGTCACAGGCTACAACCATTGCTGTCACAAGGCTACAACCATTGCCGTCACAGGCTACAACCATTGCCATCACAGGCTACAACCATTGCTGTCACAAGCTACAACCATTGCTGTCACAAGCTACAACCATTGCCATCACAAGCTACAACCATTGCTGTCACAAGCTACAACCATTGCTGTCACAGGCTACAACCATTGCCGTCACAAGCTACAACCATTGCTGTCACAGGCTACAACCATTGCTGTCACAGGCTACAACCATTGCTGTCACAGGCTACAACCATTGCTGTCACAGGCTACAACCATTGCTGTCACAGGCTACAACCATTGCTGTCACAAGCTACAACCATTGCTGTCACAAGCTACAACCATTGCTGTCACAAGCTACAACCATTGCTGTCACAAGCTACAACCATTGCTGTCATAAGCTACAAATATTGCTGTCCACTTGTGCTGTCATAAGCTACAACCATTGCTGTCACAAGCTACAACCATTGCTCACAAGGCTACAACCATTGCTGTCACAAGCTACAACCATTGCTGTCACAGGCTACAACCATTGCTGTCACAAGCTACAACCATTGCTGTCACAAGGCTACAACCATTGCTGTCACAGGCTACAACCATTGCTGTCACAAGCTACAACCATTGCTGTCAAAGGCTACAACCATTGCTGTCATAAGCTACAACCATTGCTGTCACAAGCTACAACCATTGCTGTCTCAAGCTACAACCGTTGCTGTCACAATCCACAACCATTGCTGTTACAAGCTACAACCATTGCTGTTACAAGCTACAACCATTGCTGTCACAAGCTACAACCATTGCTGTCACAAACCACAACCATTGCTGTCACAAGCTACAACCATCCACAAGATTCTGACCGTTTTTCTGGAACCTTGAACTCCTTGCGTAGCTGCTCTGCAGGTTTGTTGATCTGCTCTACCGTCAACTTGTAGATGGTCTGGTGGAGGGACAAGTCTACATACGGCTTGTTGTGTTCCTCCTCCAGGCGACGCTGAAACTTGAGCAGCTTGATCTGGTCCTCTGTTTGCTGGGGACATAAAGTATAACATACAGTGTAACACTTAACAGCTTGATCTGGTCCTCTGTTTGCTGGGGACATAAAGTATAACATACAGTGTAACACTTAACAGCTTGATCTGGTCCTCTGTTTGCTGGGGATACAAAGCATAATCTAACAGTCATCGTATCCCAATGCGTAGATCAATGCAGTGTAAAACTAAACTCACTGTAAGCAGGTGCAGGAAGCCAGTTCGACATACTGATCTATAACTGATACTAGAAATACAAACCTTGGCAGCAAAGTCATTCTTGGCCCTGCTGTAGCAGTTCTGGGCATCCTCCAGTCGCTTCAGCCGGTCATCCAGCATCTGTGGACACACAGGTGAACTTACTACACAGATGGAAACAAGAACCTTACAGTGTCCACAACTCAGCTAGATCGATGCTCATGATGTTGATCACAGGATTGTCTGGTCCAGACTCCATTATTTACAGACCGCCGCCATATAGCTGGAATATTGCTGCGTGCGGCGGTAAACAACAGCCAAACCAAACCAAACCAAACTCAATAGAGTTCATACAGGATCACTTGAAATCCTTGAACCATGTAACCTATCTATATTATAGTATTGCTATAAGACTATTTAGTAAGCCCATAAAGATTCTCCGATGACCACAAAGTAATATCATCTACACATTATACTGACTTAATGAGCTTGAACTGCTTTCTTGGAAGATAATTTTTTCGATATATCTCATACTCGTTCCTTTTGGTGATTTGTTTGTTTCTGGTTGAACACTGTACTCAGCCATATCCCAGCCATGTCATGGCAGCCTGTGTATGACTCAAGCGTGACACAGGATTAGGCAAACCAGTTATCGATCAGTCTAAGTAAACTTAGATTCAGTATTATTCGTTACACTGCTATACTGAGTCTAACAAAACCTTGTGGAAGGTCGCGTCAGGTAACCTTTCAGCGACCTATGACCATCCAATCAAAGGCGAGACGCACGAACAGATTTAACTAATCAGACAATGGCTACTATTTAGGGTTCGGCGGGACTTACAAAGTGTATTTTCTCGTCCCTGGTCGCAAACACTGATCTCCCAACAAATGAAAATCCGCATAAAACACTGATATTTGACCTGCAGTATATACGCTTTGGGGTTTCTGTTGACATGCTTTAATACTGACAAAACACTATTTTCAGCGAATGTTTACCCACTGCTGTGGCGTGCATCACTAGGAACCGATCGGACGGAAAATAGCATTCGGAATCGATCGGGTACAAACTTTTTCGAGGTAAAAGTTCAAAAGGTGTGTGCGAATGTCCACTTTCGCGATTTGGTAAGCTGTGTTCCGATTGGTCAATTGGAAAGGTTACCTGACGCGACCTTCCACAAGGTTTTGTTAGACTCAGTATATCAGTGTAACGAATAATACTGAGCCTAAGTTTACTTAGACTGGTTACCGATAAGAATAACATTACAATGTGTCACATTACATGGTGTTAATTGTTTGTTGCTGTTGCTTACCATTGCAGTCAGCAATATTCCAGCTCCATAATAACAGCTGAGGCAGGCCAGACAGTGCTTGACATTGTGTACAACAAGTACGTACATTGTACAATGTACAATGCATAATGTATAATGTATAATGTGTAATGAGGTGAGTTGACCCTACCTCCTCCTGGAAGCTCCTGACGACCTTGCAGTTGCCGTTGTCCAGGAAGTTGTCCTCCTGGTAGTACAGGTCCTCCACCAGCTTGGGGTTCTGCTGCTTGCAGAACTGTGGAGGAGAGGAGGTATGAGGGCTAGGTTAGTTTAGCTGCTGTCTTTTTGCAACAGGAGAGTGCGGAGATAAACATGGCTGATATATTGTTGACAGAGAAGTAAACAGAGGAGAGAGTCAACATGGCTGCTGTATTTTTTTACAGTACATCAGAGTAGAGGGGTTAACATGGCTGTGATATTGTTGACAGAGAAGTAAACAGAGGAGAGAGTCAACATGGCTGCTGTAGTGTTTACAGTACATCAGAGTAGAGGGGTTAACATGGCTGCTGTAGTGTTTACAGTACATCAGAGTAGAGGGGTTAACATGGCTGTGATATTGTTGACAGTACAACAGAGGAGAGAGTCAACATGGCTGCTGTAGTGTTTACAGTACATCAGAGTAGAGGGTTAACATGGCTGTGATATTGTTGACAGAGAAGTAAACAGAGGGGAGAGTCAACATGGCTGCTGTAGTGTTTACAGTACATCAGAGTAGAGGGGTTAACATGGCTGTGATATTGTTGACAGAGAAGTAAACAGAGGAGAGAGTCAACATGGCTGCTGTAGTGTTTACAGTACATCAGAGTAGAGGGGCTAACATGGCTGTGATATTGTTGACAGAGAAGTAAACAGAGGAGAGAGTCAACATGGCTGCTGTAGTGTTTACAGTACATCAGAGTAGAGGGGTTAACATGGCTGTGATATTGTTGACAGAGAAGTAAAACAGAGGAGAGAGTCAACATGGCTGCTGTAGTGTTTACAGTACATCAGAGTAGAGGGGCTAACATGGCTGTGATATTGTTGACAGTACAACAGAGGAGAGAGTCAACATGGCTGCTGTAGTGTTTACAGTACATCAGAGTAGAGGGGCTAACATGGCTGTGATATTGCTGACAGTACAACAGAGGAGAGAGTCAACATGGCTGCTGTAGTGTTTACAGTACATCAGAGTAGAGGGGCTAACATGGCTGTGATATTGTTGACAGTACAACAGAGGAGAGAGTCAGCATGGCTGCTGTAGTGTTTACAGTACATCAGGAGTAGAGGGGCTAACATGGCTGTGATATTGTTGACAGTACAACAGAGGAGAGAGTCAACATGGCTGCTGCTAGTGTTTACAGTACATCAGAGTAGAGGGGCTAACATGGCTGTGATATTGCTTGACAGTACAACAGAGGAGAGAGTCAAAGCATGGCTGCTGTAGTGTTTACAGTACATCAGAGTAGAGGGGCTAACATGGCTGTGATATCAAGCTAACAATACAGCAGAGGAGAGGGGTTAACATGCCTGTCGTTGTATTTGCAGTACAAGAGAGGAGAGGGGTTAACATAGCAGCTATATTGTTAACAGTATAACAGCTGCTATATTAGAGGGAATAGGCAATATGTATCTACCTGTATGTAGAGGGAATAGGCAATATGTATCTACCTGTATGTAGATGGAGTAGGCAATGTGTATCTACCTGTATATAGAGGGAGTAGGCAATATGTATCTACCTGTATATAGAGGGAGTAGGCAATATGTATCTACCTGTATATAGAGGGAGTAGGCAATATGTATCTACCTGTATATAGAGGGAGTAGGCAATATATATCTACCTGTATATAGAGGGAGTAGGCAATAGGTATCTACCTGTATATAGAGGCAGTAGGCAATATATATCTACCCGGGTGTATATATAAAGAGGGAGTAGGCAATAGGTATCTACCTGTATATAGAGGGAGTAGGCAATATGTATCTACCTGTATATAGAGGGAGTAGGCAATATATATCTACCTGTATATAGAGGAGTAGAGGGAGTAGGCAATGTGTATCTACCTGTATATAGAGGGAGTAGGCAATGTGTATCTACCTGTATATAGAGGGAGTAGGCAATATATATCTACCTGTATATAGAGGGAGTAGGCAATATGTATCTACCTGTATATAGAGGGAGTAGGCAATATGTATCTACCTGTATATAGAGGGAGTAGGCAATATGTATCTACCTGTATATAGAGGGAGTAGGCAATATATATCTACCTGTATGTAGAGGGAGTAGGCAATAGGCATGGTTCGGATCGTCATGAGGAAGTCTCCACTGCTCTGAAGCTTCTCCTTGAGTCGTAACAGCACCGTATACACTGAAACACAATCAATGGTTCTTACAATTATCAGCTCATGAAATAATACTTAAACAGTCAAAAGTAAAAGATGCAGAGGTCAAATGTTCCTATTCAGAAACACTGTTTTATGTGTTATGAACTAATTATTATTAATTAGAGAAAATTGGGTTTAACGTCGTGCTTGAGAATATTTCGCTCATATGATGACGTGAAATGTTAAAGAATGATTAAAGAATGAAAGACTACTGCACTAACACAGTAATGTGTACCTGCTTGTGTGTGCACACATCAGTGCATGTGTCCATTTATCCCCTACATGTAGAGCATAAGGTACAGTAACAACAAGTACTATGATTTAACATATATTTGTAAGACACTACCAGGGATTAAATCATAGGCACTCAATCCTCTTTAACATGTGGTCAAACCAACACGAGTGAGTGAGTGAGTGAGTGAGTGAGTGAGTGAGTGAGTGAGTGAGTGAGTGAGTGAGTGAGTGAGTGAGTGAGTGAGTGAGTGAGTGAGTGAGTGAGTGAGTGAGTGAGTATTACTGTATGCCTCCTTTAGTAATACTCCTGCACTGACGAGTGATGAGTAAATGCTTTCAAACTTTGGCTACTCCATTGCCATCCTCACCCCTCAAAGCCCCCACAGCCCTACTGAAACAGCCTAAGATGTTATGAGGTTCACAGTGTGAGTGTACCTAAATCACTATCTCCACTGTCAATGGCCTTAGCAAGGGCTGTATGATCCTGGTCCATCTTGAGCAACAGAGGAACCTGCTCCGATGCCTTTGGCTCGTACTCCAGCAGCTGAAACAGTCAAGGGGAGGCAACTGCCTTTTAGGCTAAATTCCTGAAAATGTCCTGTATTGCTGATAATTTTCACTGCAAGTCACAATTATCTGTAATCTGGGATCAAGTGGTGAGAGAATCATGATTCATGTTTTGAGTAGTCATTCCAAACAGATTTCAGACATGTAGGGGAGACAAATTGTTTAAACATCACATATTCTTTAACTTTCATCAAAATCATAGGTCGAATGTATCATGTGTTTGAGGTCTCTGACACTGCATGTCCATTTCTGTCAGTCAGCAGCTTAAACATTGCCGCTGTGCACACTGCCTGGTTGAGCCTTCTATTGAATACTCCACCTATTCAACTGACATGGACATAACTTTCCATATCTTTTACCCCAAGAAAATAATGGGACTATATTACTTATAGGAGGCAGTACATATCTATCTATATTCAACTATGGCTGTGTTACCTTGATGGCAAGCTGCTTCCTGCCCTGGTCCAGAGCCTGGCTGGCAATCTCTGAGAAGGACACCCCTGGAACATCCAGCAGCTTCTGGGAGATGGCTTTAGCCAGGGTGTCCTCCTCCTCGTGCTTCTGCTGTACCTGCACACAACAGCAAAGGTGTTACCAGCGAAAACTCATAGCTGGGATTCTAAATAAAACTACCGGTAAATAAGAAAGAACTTCTAAGTGATTTTGTGTGTTTCTTTCTTAATGCTACACACATCAATAGGCTAGCAACATGACACTGGCATGCATTTATTTTATTCCGGATCAAACCAATGATTGATATAATGAGCAATGGCCAACGTCATTGTGACAGTAATCCAACAAAAGACTAGGACCAGTCATAATAAAATGAAGGTGCCAGTCTATCACTGCTAAAGTACTCCCCTCCACAGTCTGCAACATATCAGAAGTCTCACAGATTCCTGTAAATAACAGACCAGACAAACCAGTGATTGAGCATCTATCGATTTACCTTCCAATAACTGACCAAGCATACGTGACTAATACCCGTCTGTTACCAGGAGCCGTGCCATGCTGTCACCGAGATCCCAGCGTTATTTCGAATCATGAAATCAGTGGGAACTCATCCAATGTTATTTGGTCAGTGTTAACAGTGTGTTAGAGTTGAGCAGCGTGGCCCTACCTTGTAGCAAGCCCAGTGTGCCAGGATTCGGCTGGTACCCTCTGCATCTGGAATCTTCAGATACTGACATATCTTGATAGCTAGGCAGAAGAACTTCCGGAGAACTAGTCGATCGATCAGCACCGGCATGGACAGGTGCTCCAGTCTTAGAGGTATTAAGGTACACAACATGATGCCAAAATATTTTTTTTTGGTTTTATGCTTTCAACAGCAATATTCCCTTTTTCTGTCAAAAGGCTGTCAATACTTGAGTCTGGACCAGTAAAACCAGTGATTATCAACAATCCACACAAGTTGGGTACTATGACATACAATCAACCAAGTCACCAAGACTTACACTCAAACCATTAAGCTGCCTTGTATATAACACAGGCTGCAAGGAAACAGTTCTGACAGAGAATCCCCATAGAGGTTTGAATGAAAATGAGGAGACAGTTAGCAGAAATATTTGGGGATAATGTAACATGAGCACAACCAGACGACAGTCTCTCGCAGGGGATAAAACAGTTATCATGCAAGTAGCTCAACAGAAATCTTCAATAATAAAACAGAGGTCACGTGCCGGTTTTGGCGGGAAACAAAGGGAGGTAATTGAGGGTGAGTGATTGTACGTTCGCTTCAAGGGAATGGAAAGGATTCAAGTTTCCACTTGACCGTTCGGAAGAAACGATGAGAAAGCAAATAATCATGAGTCAGGATAAGGCAAAATAAACAGACTCTACATACACACCAGCCAGTCTTAAATCACTTGTTCCGCTAGAAGGATACTGTAAGTATGTAAGTGGAATACCAACAGAATGATGTCGGACTTGGTTCAACACCCGCAGCATCTGACACATGTTCACAAATGCCTCTGGTCGGTAGTCTGTCAAGAAGCATTTACCAAATGAAGCAGCCTGAAACACAGAGAGTGAGTGAGTGAGTAAAAAGAGGATGATTACATAAAAAATCTACCGGTAATATAAATCTGAATAGCACATTTGCCAAAACTGCCAAATTGTGCTTAGACCATGACAGATCTCCATTATTACAGTGGTCATGGATCAGTGAGTGATCAATTTGCATTCTCAGCTCCCTGGGGAGTCTACAAAATATCCAGTTTGAGTGAGTGAGTGAGTATAGTGTTATGCAGCTTTTAGCAATATTGCAGTTATATCACGGTGTGGGAACCCAGAAAATGGCTTCACACATTGTACCCATGTGGGGAATCGAAGCCAGGACTTTGGCATGACAAACTAACGCTTCAACTACTAGGCTACCCCACCGCCCTATGCAGCTTGAGAGATATTAGAACTTAACAGTAACATTTTAACTCACTCACTGCTGGGTGAACAAGGCATATTTTGAACTCAGTCATTTGTCTAGAGTGAGGGCAGAGCTGATGCCCTAGAAGCTCTCAAGAGTCAGTAGTTAGTGACAGTCACCCATCCAACTACTCTGTCACAACGCTGCTCAACTACACCTGTTTTGTGGCATGTGGGTTGTACGTAGGGTCACATGTCACAGGATCAGTACGGCATACTCTCTCTTCAACCACTGGTAGGGATAATTATATGGTTCCATACTCAGAGGGCAACAACTAATATTGAAATGTCTTTCCGTATATGTTCTCCTTTCAATGAAGCAGAATAATGCTTAAGTCAGTACAAACATCAAATACTATTCCTCCAACATCTCCAGACACTCTCTATACAAACAGTTTACAAAGGTCCTACAGTGAATATTGTTCACACTAGTGGTGGTCCGATTAATTGAAATAATCAAATATTGGTCGCAGTGACTAAACGACCAAGCAATCGATCATGTTTTCTCATAATAGAACACAAACAATTCTGGAACACTTGTTTTCATTCACAATATTTTTCACAAGGTTGGTTTTGTCTGTTACATATCATAAGCACTACAAGCTCATTTCAAGTCATGATTGAATTTATCTTAAAGACTCCAAGAAATTTATGTTCCTGACATACTAGTCATCCTTTAAAGATGTGAAAGTTTGCCAAAAAAAAACCAAAAGAGCTACATGTTTTTTCCTTATTTTTATGTGCATTAACAAATTTCATTAATGACGCTAACCAATTTTTTTCGATGATTGAACGGTTGTAATAAACCAATCATAATTATGAGATTTTAACCAATTCCCAACACTAGTTCACACCTACCCTCAGCAGTAATCTCTGTTTATTTGGTTCGATCTCATTCCCGGCCGCCTCAATACACTGGTCCACTGCAATGTCCAGTTTGTCCTTGATCATCCTCACATACTCATCCGCTTTCTGGCTGCGTTTCTGGAAAACATCAAATATATGGTGGAAGCTGTCTAAACCGGCACTCATCGGGACTGAAGAAATAATCTGGTTTAGACAGCATGTGGGATTGTAGAAGTGGCACGGTTACCTGCGACAAGAACTTTGTCACTCTCATATACATTGTTTCATCACTTGGTTCTCTCAATTACTGCACACACTGACAATAAAACGTGTCATCTCACTAGTTACATGTACAAGTATACCCATACTGAACTAAGATTAAATTATCTTTGTCGGCAACCATGTAGTTTCAACGCAGGATTAATTGGTAACAATACACATCCGTCCGACTCCTCACCACGCACCGGATTAGACAGCGCTGATTACTGGATAAACACATATTTGGGTGGCTCATTTCATGCCGAGATCCGGAATTGACAGCTGATGGATTGCAAAGCTCATAAATGATGATAAATGTACTAGCCACGGACAGGACTGAGATTTTATGCAGGTGTTGACAACTTGCCGGATTGGACAGCTGCTGGTTTTGACAGTTTCCACTGTATGCAATACTACATGATACAATGATTCTGTTTATGCTGATATGGTTATGTTTAACATGACTGTCATAGGATTTTTGTCAAATTTAAAAAAAAAATCTCTTCAAAACCAGTGTATTAATGTGAAACTGACCAACCAATGGTTCAACAGGAAATACTTTGGGATAACGAAAACATTAATCTACACATTAAATATCTACACATTTGCTCCTTTTTAGATCACTTTCATCATCTTTAGAAATTTCTCTAAACACCTGTTACCTCCTGTCTTCAAATTGGAAATTTTAAATATAAATTGTATATTTATATACTTATCCAATCTCACGGTATGCACTTCTCTCTCTTGATTCGACACTGAGTGGAACGATGTAAATCTTGTCCATCCGCCCAAGCACTCCATGCTACCCTCATTATAAGACAGCTTCCTAGTTGTCATGCAAAGCATGCGGCATGCACCACTAGCTACCCACGTGACTATCTCCGAATCATCATTCTCATTCTTGGAGCCACTAGAATATCAATCTTGGAGAATCTGCATAGCGGGGAGGATGGGCAGGAATCCGTCGCGTGAGATAGGATAAGTATATAAATATACAATTTATATTTAAAATTTCCAAATTTTGAAACTTATCCTATCTCACGGTGTGCACTTATCTCACAGTCGGACGGCAGGACACAGATACCCTGTGTCTTGTCAGTGCGAACAGTAGAACTGTGTAGACTGGAAACAACCGTAGATAGCGATGCACAAGGGAGGCCTGTTACGACTAGCGCAACTCCTATGCTTGTGACGAGTTCCTCTGAACTCCTTGGCTTACTAAGCACAACGGCTCCCAGGGAGATGGGTGCTCCTGAGCGATCTGGTGTTCGGCCGCAACCTCCGAAGAAGGATGCAGCTCAGCGAGAAAGGATGTCACTTCGCCACGATTTTCAAGGTACCCCCCTGTAAATTAAAGTCATAGACAATAATCGGGCCAGCCCCTGCTTCAAGAAGGCCCCCACAGACACCGACCAGGGGCGGGTGAAAGAGAAGCACAACTCGGAAAACTCGCAGTTTTAACGTTCAGTTCCAGTCAACATCAAATTGACCCTCACTCCTTTACATAAGCTTAGTCAAAGGATGAGCCTGGCAATTTTCGAAATCGGGAGTGACACACTTCACTGACGTAATTGCTTCGAAAAGTAGAGCTCAGGAAACGTGAAATGTCAAACCCTTCCACATCGTGATACAGAATCGAGCTCCAGATTCATCCAACCCCCGAGGTGGTAGTATCTCTGTGTCTTAGTATAAAACTAAGTGAAGTAGTTCTAACCCATAAGCAATCAAAACATAAGGCATACAGCAAGTTCAGACTTATATTCAAGAAAATACATGGAAGCAGCAACCGCGAGGGACTGTTCCCTATCTGCGTTGGTGGGCTGTAGACAGCTGTTGTGCGAGCACAAGGGGTCCAAACTGGTACAGGCCTTGGACATCCTTGACTGAGAGGTCTCGAAGGTAGTGCGAGGAGAAGACCGAGTCGGATCGCCAGAAGCATCCTTCCATAATGGCGTGGAGAGAGCAGTTACTATGCAGAGCCATTGTAGACACTAACGCCCGTGTCTCATGTGGATTGGAAGCTGTCGGGCCGGTAACCCAGCGAAGGTGTAAGCCCGTAGGATGGTGGCTCTCATCCAGAAGGATAATGTGGTGCAAAACACTTCCGCCCTGGATGTTAAGGACAACGGAATGAAGAGGCGCTTGTGGAGACGGTGGCGATCTTTAGAAGCAGCAAGAAAAATCTTCAAAGCCCTAACAGGGCAAAGCTGCAGGTCTTCATTGTCATGCGGCCCAAGGATCGTGGACTACGGTGGGATGGTAAAAGTACAATCGGGTTGTCCTGGAAACTGATTCTTCGCTACAAAAGCCCAACGGAGACCGAGGAAGACTTTGCCGTGCTTCTTCCGTTCAAACTCGTCCAAAGCGTGGAGTTCAGAAATCCGAGCAGCTGTAGCCAAGACCACAAGGAAGAAGGTCTTGAAGGAGATCTTCTCAAAGTCCTTCTGAGCTAGGGGTTCATAGTCTGCCAAGGCCAAATGACGCAGCACCACAGATAAATCCCAAGCAGGAGGTCTAAACTTCTTAGACTGATCGGCCAACTTGAAGGACCGGAGCAAATACTGAAGCTCAGGAACCGTCGAGACCTTAGAGCCTGTGGTGGTTGCCAGGACCGAGTTGATCGCAGCAAGGTAAGTGGCCAAAGTGGAACCCTTGAGCTTCTTAGACGACCGCAAATGCTGAAGAAACTCAGCGACGATTTGAGGCTGAAGTAGAAACGGGAGATGTAATGCCTCTGGACGTGCAATATCTCTCAAAACATTTCCACTTCTCATCAAAAGTGAGCGGGTGGAAGTCCGATGAGCAGAAGTGATGGCCATAGCCACTCTCCGATGAATACCCCTTGGCGATTAAGGACTTCTGCAGATGCGCCAAACGTGCAGAGACAGGGTGCGAAGGGATACTTGACGCCGATCCGAGTGAGGGTGTAACAGTAGGTCATCCCGAATGGGAAGAGGAACTGGGTTTAGGTCTGCGAGCTGTGCGAGATCGACAAACCAACTCCTGACTGGCCAGTAAGGTGCGACCAAAAGCAGTAGAATCTGCTTGGTCGCCTGGAGTTTCTGGATGACTCTGGGTAGAAGAGCCGGAGGAGGAAAAGGCGTAAGCGTTGAGCCCCTCCCACGAAATCGCCAGAGATCCCATGCTAGTTGGTCTGGTATCAGCGAGACAAACTGCGGGAGCTGATGGTTGAACCGGGTGGTGAATAGGTCGACTTGGGGCCTTGATAACGGGAAGACCAGTTCCCGAAAGATCTGTGGGTTCAATTGCCACTCTGTGGGAGACGGCCGATCGGAGCGGGACAGCGCATCTGCGATGACATTCCTGACTCTGGGAATGTGTCTGGCTCGAGCATCGATGGCAAGGGAGTCGATCAGATGGAAGAACCAAAACACCCACTGAAGAAGGTTCGCCGAACCCATCGACCAGAGATGGTTGATGTACCAGACGACCGTGGAGTTGTCTGTCTGAATCAGCAGGGAGGACACCCGAAGTTCCGTCGCCCAATGTCGAATTGCGAGAAGAACCGCCAAGAACTCGAGTTTGTTGATGTGCAAGTCCCGTTCTGCTGACCACAGCCCGGCTGTGATGATGAAGAAAGTGAGCACCCCAACCTTTGAGCGACGCAGTCAACAAACAAGTGGTGTTGGAATGAACGGCATCAAACAAACTCCGGCGCAAACGTTCTGTTCGACAAGCCACCACTGAAGAAAAGAATGTAAGGGTTCGGGAAGATGTATCAACTCCTGGAGATTCTCTGAGACGAGATACGGATGCAGGAAACGCTGCAATGGACGCAGTTGCAATTGTCCCCACCGTGTCAATGCCTGTGGCGATGTCAAGAGGCCCAAAAGTTCCTGCCACTGTCGTAAGGTCCTGGCCTGCGACAGTGCTAACGGAACTAGCCGTTGAATTTTCAGCCACCTGTCTTGGGGAAGAAAATCAGGCCCTGGTGCATGTCGAAAGTTGCCCTGATGAATTGAAGGGTCTGGGTCAGTGTTAATTCCGACTTCGCAGCGTTTAACAACCAACCTAGTTGCCGGAGTAGCTTCGTACTGAACACCAACTGACGTAGAAGAACGACTGGGTCTCTCTGTGCCTGAATGCAGTCGTCTATGTAACTTTCGAACACAATCCTGTGAGATGAAGAAACCTGGTCTCGGCTTGGTGATCCTGGTAATAGCCACAGGGCTATGGCAATTCCAAACACAGGGACGGTCCATTGATAATGGATCCCCTGGAATACGAATCCGGAGGAATTTCCGCTAATCCGGATGAATGGGCACATGAAGATAAGCATCTTGAAGGTCTAGGCTGACAAGAAAATGCTCTTTCTTCAGGATGGTGCGAAGAAGGAAGAAGATCGATACCATCCGGAAGTGAGGTGGGCGCTGGAGATAGTGGGCATTAAAAAGTTTCATGTTGAAAATGAGTCTTAGTTTAGTGAAGTTTTTCTTGGGAACCAGAAAGATGGGGGAATAGAGTCCCGGAGTGCTGGGCGCCGGACCGAGAGACTGGACTTCTCATTTATCTATGAGAGTACCTATGGACCTGGACCTGGTCCGCCGGGTAGCTGCGGTGTACCGGATGCACTGTCAGCGGTGGGCGTCCGATGACTGGAAGGTGATAGCCTGTGGCGAGGAGGTCAGTCACAAAAGGATCGTTTAGTATGGTCCATTTGGGAGCGAACCTCCCTAGTCTCCCGCTCACTCCAGAGTCGTAAATGGGGACAGCTGGAGGCGGGAGGTCCCAGTCGTGCCTTGTTGTTTCGACGAGCCCTACTCCCAACCCAACCGGACTAGCTCAGGGGATCTAATGGTCACGAAATCCCTGATGCAGTTCCGGATGAGACGGCACGAACTGTGGAGGCCTTCTGTGTGTCATGGAAACTTGCAGATGAGATTTCTGGAGTTTCAATAATTCCACTGAAACTTGAAATTGAGTGTCCCGATCCACCTTCGCCGAAACTTCCCCAATCATGACATTAAACAAGGATTCTGCAGACCACGGTTGACGGAAGAGTTCAGCCTTAAACCTGTCATCCCATGAAGACAAATTGAGCCGGCCATGACATCGCCGAAATGCCAGGAGATAACCAAGGAAATGAGACAGCTGGTCAAGTACGATCTGAAATTGGTCCAGGGACATACTGACTGACAATGTGGCCATTACCCAAACAAGGATTCTGCAGACCACGGTTGACGGAAGAGTTCAGCCTTTTAAACCTGGAAGACAAATTGAGCGGGCCATGACATGAATGCCAGGAGATAACCAAGGCAGAGACAGCTGGTCAAGTATGATCTGAAATTGGTCCAGTATACAGCCCCCGATGTAAGCATCCTGATCGGTGAAAGAGTGCTCCACTGATGCCGCAACGCCCCACCCCGAGATGATGCAATTGATCGAGGGTAAGGAGCGACGAATAGCTGTGTCCATGTGAGACAGTTCTCTGTCCTCAACTAGAAAGGCTGAACAAGTCCTCTTCCCGCAAAGTGTTTGGACATCCTCATCCACCGAGGGAGCAGTAGCCAATGACTAGAAACCATGGGAGTGAGCCGCTGGTAGGGAAAACCTAGGCAAAGACAGACCATCCTTAATCCTTTTAAGGCTTTTAAAGGCATGATCCAAGGACGTAGTTAGATGAGCAATACAAGGTCGTGGTGGGAAGGTAATAGATGTCAAGTCTCTGTCTCATGGAGAAGGAATGAGTTAAATCCTCCGGGTTCTGTGACATAGGGAGGTGGAGTTTCTCCACTATCCAAGCTAAAACTTGAGGTTCATCGACAAAGTCCAAACTTCCCTCTGGGGAATCCACAACCAAAGTGTGCTGGAGATGTAGGATCAGGTGGAACACCAGGACTAGGCGCCGTAACAGATGGTCTGAGGGGAGGAGCATTCCCCGTAGAGTGAGCAGCCTGTTGTTGATTCCAAGCAGTAGAAAGAGCACTTACATCACAGCCAGATTTGGGCAGGAGTCCAGGAATCTGGTACAATCCGAGTAGAGAGACGTGAGGAGGCAGGAGTCCCGTCAGAAGTCATAGCATGCTCAGATCGAAACTTGGAAACCCGTTGATTAGATCGACGATCCGTAGAACCATATCTATGTCTGGAGGGGGACGAACCGGGAGAGGATGCACAAATGGAGACCCGCGGAGGAGAACGGGAGCGAGGAGGGGAGATATCGCAACAATAACGATGATCCCTGGATCTTGAACGATAGGCAGCAGTCAACCATGTAGGAGATCAAGGTTGACGGGTCGAGTGTGCAGAACCGGAAGTAGCATGATGACGAAAGACGAAGTCCGTGGAAGTGACTTGGAATGAAGAACCGATCTCAATGAAGCAGAGGGAGGCATGTGCTTAGTTGAATGCTGCTTAACGAAGTCTCGGTGGTGAAGTAGACCTATCAGGTCTATCCGGTGAACAAATCCGAATAATCATAGGAGACTGATCCAGACGACATCGGTGAAAGCCACGCTCGCGTTGAGGAGGCGTGACTGTAGGATCCAACAGAGTTCTGGAAGTAGAACTGAAGATGATCCGGAGAGAGGCATTCCACTGAATACCGCTTGGAAGAAGGCCGTTCCGCAAAAAGTCGATTCACCACATGCCGCTTTTGATGAAGTCTTCCATTTCGGCAATACTATTAGGTGAAGTCGTTTAGTAGATTAATGATCAGGAAAGACCGGTTCTATTAGGTGAGCCGTCTGTTCTAGTAAGGTGGACAGTCCGCCAAAGTCGAGGAGGGAGCAGCAGGTGAAGCTTATCCGACTGGTGTTGATCTGGCATTTGAAGACCAGAAAGACCGGTTCTGCGAAAGTTGTTTCATAGAGAGCCAGTCTAATTCTGGGGAAGGTGGACAGTCCGGCGAAAGTCAAGGTGGAGGGGAGCAGACAGGCAAAGCGTGATCCGGCGAACTGTGATTCGATCTGGCAGGCTTTGGCGAAGCAGAAGATCGAGGTAGCTGGACGCAAGACACACTTGTTTTCGCAGAATGGGAAGGAGACGGTGAAGAACCACTAACAGGCGTTGAGGCGACGTAGACTGGTTCCTCTCACTACTGGATGAACGATATGAGCGAGAACGGCTTCTGCGCATGCGCTCTGCGCAGTCAGGCGTAGAGATCAGTTGATTCTTGTCCAAAACAGATAAGCCAGGTTGCCGAGATAACTGGTCTGGAGAACGAGAGACAGAGAGCGTAGTTCGAGGGTCCCGCTGTGTAGAGGTATCCTGAGGGGTGGTAGCAGTCTCGACAACCACTACCAGGGACGTGGTTGAAGACGAAGGACTCGGGCTGGAATGTTGAGAGCCCAACAAATTCTCAATGTCTTCCGATAAGTAAGAATCTGACGACTCTCTCATGAAATCCTCTTCATTCGAGGGAGGGGACTGTGACCGCCGAGCAGACAAAGTAGGACGCTTAAACTTTCCTTTCTTGGAGGGACTGGATCCATCAAGTGAAGCAGCATAACGAGCCCTGTCAGCAACACGACAAGCGCAAGCCCGAGTGTAGTCACCAAACGCCTCGAAGGTAAGATCCTTGCATCTATCGCAACAAGAGTCTAATTTATACTGTCCCATACAGTCAACAAAATACCCATGTGGATCACTTGCGGAGAACACTTTATTACACCGGGAGCATTTTTTCGTCTTTTTTGGCTGGTCAACTTTCCCCATGCTGTAGACTAAGTTGAAAACGTTGAGCAAAGTAACATACGTCCACACTCGTGTGCGACAAGAAAGAGAATGATGATTCGGAGATAGTCACGTGGGTAGCTAGTGGTGCATGCCGTATGCTTTGCATGACAACTAGGAAGCTGTCTTATAATGAGGGTAGCATGGAGTGCTTGGGCGGATGGACAAGAGAGGCCAAGGGAAAAAAAGTTTACATCGTTCCACTCAGTGTCGAATCAAGAGAGAGAAGTACATACCGTGAGATAGGATAAGTTTAAAAATTAATAATTTACTTTCCTTTAGTTATGTAAAAATGGCCAATACACAACAGGTACCCACTGCTGTTGTTAGGTGTGAGTCTGTGACCGACTGCAAGTTACCTGGAACTCCCTAGATGCTTCAAACAACATGGCTCCTGGCTCCATGGATCCAATCTTGAAGATCTGCTCAGTCACAGCTGGTGCAGGGACACAGATGTAAGTGATAAATACTACATGTCGTCAGAGTTTCATCAGAACCGACTGAATTTGTTGGAGAGATAAATGAAAAATGCCTGACTATCAAATACTCTATAATACCTACATGTTAAACAATGTTTTTCATCCAATGAAATAACAGCATGGTCATGTAATTGTCAAGGGAACAGGGAACGTTTAGCCATGGCAGCATCACACTGTGCCCATTATCACAGCCCGTATAATGTGGCATCCCTCCGTGCCCTCCCTCCAAGACAATCTGTATCCTACCTGGTACTTTCTGGAGAAACTCATGAACATCATCCCCGAATATCCTCAGTCCATCTTCCTCTTGTACTAGAGAGACTGGGCTGTCAAAGTTGTATCTGAACTGGGTGAAGGAAAAACAGCCTTTGGACACCAAATACCGGTATGCCTCAATTGTGTGGAATCTACCCAAAACTTTGAACATATTTTATAGGATGAAAATTGAGATTAGACTGATGAATTCATCAATTTAACATCAGACACCAACTGCCCAATGAACTTTACATTGCTCTTCCTATTATGAACTTATATGTAAGACAGTGAGTGAGTGAGTGAGTGAGTGAGTGAGTGAGTGAGTGAGTGAGTGAGTGAGTGAGTGAGTGAGTGAGTGAGTGAGTGAGTGAGTGAGTGAGGATGAGTGAGTGAGGTTTATATTCGGCTGATGCCACTACCCTGCTGCACAGAATCCCTACAGATGAACACATAAAGGATACTTGATCCAGTCTTTGTCTGGACCGACCACGACCATCAGCTTGTCCCACATCGCTACCACGGCACCATTGCCACACCTGTACACAGACAGTACACTGAACAATACAGGGAAATAGTCTGGGAATGCTTCTTCTTAGATAAACGACCTATGTCTTGATGGGTGTAAAGATAATAGTTATAACCAGTACCAAATTTCTTGTTGACAGATTGTGGGAAAAAACTTCACAGGCTGCTTATTTGGACACACAATTAGAAAATATTATATCAGTGACATCATTCAGCACAATACTGCAGCATCCTCCCCATCCATTCCATTATCAGCCAATAATATAATCAGTGGGCTTGACCTAATTTTGTGTTTTGGTGAATGGATACACCATTTATTTACACATAACATGTCACTAAATGGGACTGAACAACGTACCAGGCAAGTTGATTTGGCGGAGACTTTGACTTAGTGTTGAATTCACAATAACACTTCTGAAAGAAGAAAAGGTAATAAAACTAATAATCATATCGCTAATAATTTTTAAAATACCAAGTAAAGTGAATAAAAATACTTTAAAAAAATATAATAATAATTAAATCTTAGCGATAAATGCACAATTGATACAATATTACCAAATGTATGTGAATGAGTGAATGTTATCTGGCAGACACCAACACTCCAGCTGTGTAAAGAGGCCTGTGTATAATCATGGCTGGACCTGACAATGATACTTCATATCCCAAACATGAACCATTACCCCAACCTTACACTTCTACCTCAGTGCTGTTTGAGCTGTTAGTACATTGAAACCATGCCTGTGGGTGTTAATGTTTCAGATCATACTGACACACATTAAAAACACACAAGAACCATCTAATTCATCACAAGCATGGTGCCCTGGAGACTAGCTACTGCCATGAAATCATCATTTCAATTTGAATTCTGGAACATTTACATGTCATTTCATGACTTAAGAAAATGGAAACTGACTCTCCATGCCTGTGCAACAATCAGCCACACTCCAGCCATGTTTCCAGTGGTTTGTAAGTAACTGAGTTTGGGCCAGGCAAACCACTGAGTGACAGCATGGCTGATGATCCATTCAGTTCAGATACTATGACAAACTGTCCACGATCACAAACTTTAGCAACTCAATCCTCAGAAATGTAAATGCTAATGACAAGCATAGACACTGACGGGATTCTGGGAAAGACTTGGCCCCCAGTCACTTATGCTTGAAGAGGCAGCTGAATGGATTGTGTGGTCTGGCTCGTTGAAATCTGCCCCTAGACATGTTATGTTGCTCATTATATCAACCACTGGTTTGCCAGGGACAGAATCTATTCTCAACAGGCCTCTATCGTATTATTGGAATATTACAGAGTGCAACATTAACAGTAAACAAGCACTGGATATTATGGACGTACTCTGCCTCAGAAACGCCTTGATGTTATGCTCAACAAATAATATTCGGTACCTGTAAGTCTGAAGAGCCGATCCATATCATCCCAGTCTGTGTGAAAAGAGCCAGGTACTTGTTGTTGAAGGATAGTGCCATGGCAACATATGCCTCTACCTCAGACTCAACCTCCGGTGACTGTAAACATTATACCATCACTCTGAAGAAGGTTTTAGGACTTGGGATGATAAAACCTAAATCATAAAATACTGAAAAAATGAATCCAAAATATCAGTATGTCATTTTTTTAACACTGGATTAGTATTTAACCAGCAGAAACAATGCAATAACTAACGTGTATACAGACCTCTCGTCGATATAAATATTTAAACTGATATATATAGTGATACAGAGTTTCCTGCTCCCAATACTGGTCCCCTGATTTACCTGTTCCTGATATTGTCTACCTGACTGACCAACTGCTACCACTGTCCCCCCAGAGTTACCTGCTCCTTATATTGTCCCCCTGAGTTACCTGCTCCTGATATTGTCCCCTGAGATACCTGCTCCTGATATTGTCCCCCTGAGTTACCTGCCCTGATATTGTCCCCTGAGTTACCTGCTGCCCTGATATTGTCCCCTGAGTTACCTGCTCCTGATATTGTCCCCTGAGGTTACCTGCTCCTGATATTGTCCCCCTGAGGGTTACCTGCTCCTGATATTGTCCCCCTGAGTTACCTGCTCCTGATATTGTCCCCTGAGGTTACCTGCTCCTGATATTGTCCCCCTGAGTTACCTGCTCCTGATATTGTCCCCTGAGTTACCTGCTCCTGATGTTGTCCCCTGAGTTACCTGCTCCTGATATTGTCCCCTGAGATATTTACCTGCTCCTGATATTGTCCCCTGAGTTACCTGCTCCTGATATTGTCCCCTGAGGTTACCTGCTCCTGATATTGTCCCCTGAGGTTACCTGCTCCTGATATTGTCCCCTGAGTTACCTGCTCCTGATATTGTCCCGCCTGAGTTACCTGCTCCTGATATTGTCCCCTGAGTTACCTGCTCCTGATATTGTCCCCTGAGTTACCTGCTCCTGATATTGTCCCCTGAGTTACCTGCTCCTGATATTGTCCCCTGAGTTACCTGCTCCTGATATTGTCCCCTGAGTTACCTGCTCCTGATATTGTCCCCCTGAGTTACCTGCTCCTGATATTGTCCCCCTGGGTTACCTGCTCCTGATATTGTCCCCCTGGGTTACCTGCTCCTGATACTGTCCCCCTGGGTTACCTGCTCCTGATATTGTCCCCTGAGTTACCTGCTCCTGATATTGTCCCCTGAGTTACCTGCTCCTGATATTGTCCCCCTGTTACCTGCTCCTGATATTGTCCCCTGGGTTACCTGCTCCTGATATTGTCCCCTGGGTTACCTGCTCCTGATATTGTCCCCCTGGTTACCTGCTCCTGATATTGTCCCCTGAGTTACCTGCTCCTGATATTGTCCCCCTTGGTTACCTGCTCCTGATATTGTCCCCCTGGGTTACCTGCTCCTGATATTGTCCCCCTGATTTACCTGCTCTTGATATTGTCCTCCATGATCTACAAGGAAGAGTTGGTCGTTCTTGGCAACCAGGGCTAGAGACTTCCGCTCTATGTTGATAATGGTCCAGCTACTGGGAAGAGAGTTCAGGCCTGGAAAGAAACCACACCATAAAACAGTTTTGTTCCAGAATTACATCAAGAAAAATATACATACAACATTTCAGAGAAGTAAAAGGAAACTGAAGAAAAAATATCGTTTATAAAGAAAGTCCCTATGTCCCTCTAAAAATGAAAGATTTTTATACCTGGGACTTCAGCCAGCTTCCTGACACGGGGGTCTTCAGCATTGGTGATGAGGAATATTCTGAATGCTGTTGTCATGACAGCAATTCCAGTGCCTTGGAAGCTGTTGAATATTTTGCAGTCTAAGAGTTTCACATCCTTTGCTTCCTAGAGAAGACAAAGAAATCAGTTTGGAGAAACTGGATTACATTTTTGACCATATATTTTGATGGTATCAAAAAGTATAAACATGTATGTAACTGTCACACAAACAAAATACAACAACACAAATATACTGTTAAGATTACTAATTATTTTAATACCAGTTTCTCAGGGGAACAAAACTGTCAGAAGCGAACATGTGTTGCAGAAAATACAGTATACATTCAGCTTCTGATGAATAGATTTAAAACTTTGTGGGTATAAATTATGTACACTGTGAACATAAAGATTTTAACACATGAGGAAAAGAAAGTGAAGACAGATAAGATGAATATCAAGGAAACAAGCAATGCACAAACCTGTCCCATCCCAAATGTCCTCTTGAAGTTGAGGAAGATGTCATACACCAACACGACTCCATCGTCCTGCACGCACAGCAACTCCTCCGTCACTGTCCATCCAATCTGTATCACATGGCCACTGTTCCACTGACAACACACAGACATACTACTGAGGAAGCCAGCATGACTATGGGTGGGTAAAATGGGGCTTAATGTTGCTGTATTTATTCTGTGTGTGGCTGCTTGTACTAGTTGGACTAACAACTGTCTTATTGTGCAATCCCACTAGGATACCATGACACAGTTTAACAAAGAACCTCTCTGATATAGTATACTGACACCGAGCTGACTAGTTCAAGCCAAGTGACAAGCAGGATAACCAGTACCAAGAAGCATCTGTTGTCATGGGGATGATGTGACCAGAGTGCAAACCACTATCCTTTCACTCTCCAGCCAGATGCTCTGTTCACTGACTACACCATGGCTTAAGGCTCAGGACAAACACTCTATCTACGAGACAAGGGGGTGGTCTCAGGACAAATACTCTATCTACGAGACAAGGGGGTGGTCTCAGGACAAACACTCTATCTACGAGACAAGGGGGTGGTCTCAGGACAGACACTCTATCCAAGGGACAAGGAAGTGGTCTCAGGACAAACACTGTATCCATGAGAAATAGATGTAGTCTCATCACAGATGCTTTATCCACGAGACATGAAGGTGGTCTCATCACAGATGCTCTCTCCTTGAGACATGGAGGTGGTCTCATCACAGATGCTCTATCCTTGAGACATGAAGGTGGTCTCATGACAGATGCTCTATCCTTGAGACATGGAGGTGGTCTCAAGATAGACGCTCTATCCTTGAAACATGGAAGTGGTCTCAGGACAGATGATCTATCCACAAGACCATGGAGGTGGTCTCATCACAGATGCTCTATCCATGAGGCATGGAAGTGGCCTCTGGACAAACACTATATCCAGTGGTCTCATAACAGATGGTCCATCCATGAGACACAGAAGTGGTCTAAGGACAAACATTCTATCCACAAAACATGTAAGTGGTCTTAGGAAAGACGCTCCATCCACTACAAAATGGGGTTGGTTTCAGGACAGACCATCAGAACATGAAGGTAGTTTCATAACCATTACATAAGAAGCATGGCTATCACATAATGCAATATTTTTATCAGCAATAAATGATAATATCAAAGTTGTTTCAGGAATGTTATCATATTACAGTCATGGATTTATGATTGTCAGGATATCATAATATAGTCCTGGTTGCGGGGGATGATGTCACAATGCAGACATAGTTGTATGAATATCAGGGTATTATTATACTGTCATAGTTGAAGGAGTGTTATACTGATGTACATACTGTTATACCTTGGATTACAGATCCTTTCTGAACATGCTGAAGCTATCTTCAACCTCCCTTGTACAATGTCGTACAATGTTTACAATGCTGTACCTACCCTGAGTTGACTGAGAAGTTTCCCTGCAGTATTGTAAACACTGATGATAGGTTTCACGTTTGTTGTCACCCTGCCAGACTTGCTCTCATCCCTCATAAGGGCTGAAAAGAACAACAGTAAAACATTTATCAACATGGCACAGTTCAGTTGAACTCTTTAGTCACCTCCTACATAAGAGACCTCTAACAACAACCTATGTTACAATGAGTGAGTTAGTTGGGATTAACTCCATTTTGTACAGTATTTCAGTTGTACCAAAACATGATAGCTTAATGTGAGAAGAAAGTTTGATTGTACACATTTACTAATTTCACATATTGCTGGCAGGTGTGGAAAAAAACAGGAATCATAAACAGGAATGATAATAAGGGTAAATTAGGGATTTAAACCTAAATCAAGTTTTCCTTGCACCATTCACTCTGAAAATAATCTTAATTACATGTATTTACCTAACAAGGTTTTGCTTTGTATTGTGCATTTATGCCATGAGTTATTACAGTTTCAGAAAAGATCTGTACACTTGCGTAACCATGATTCGTGGGTATAAGAGATGTGCGCTGAAAATCATATTTTAAATGCACGATTTCATTTTGTATACTCCCTGATTATTTTATTCATTGATTCAGCAAATTGAAAATGCTTAATATTCCACTCTTGAATGAAACGTTTGTTTAGCGAAGCCATTTGCAATTATCACCCATTCGTGTGCACACAAAATGCGACGTCACCTTGTTTCATGGATTAGGTTGTCGTTTACAATCTATCACTATGTATGACAGGCCATTGCAGTAAGTATTGACACCTAGGAAAGCAGTCGATGAGATATGAGAATGTTGGTGCTAATGGTATCTTTTTCACTTGACATTTTGTAAAAATAAAATTTGGTATTAGTGGCATTAGTGATCTTGCAGTGCAATGCAGAGATTCGGAACATTTTGGTCAGCGAGACCTGGCATTATGTGTACATCAAAAGTACAGAGTCGTGACGTCATATGAGACTGTTTACAAGATAGCATGATAATTACCGCAATCCACGAATCAAGGTTATCCACGAAGTTAGGTTACAGTTCTGTATTACAAACTTTTCTGTGAGTTTTGTTTTTTACCTATGGGTCCGCCGTATGGTGCTGCAGCCACTGTACATTTTGACAGGTCCACCAGACCACTCCACTCCATAGAGTATAACTCGCATTTTCTTGAAAGAAAGAGTACATTTATATCAGTGTTGTTTGGAATAATAAAATATTGTTCAATTACATACACAACACATTAGAATCAGATACATCTGCTGTCAATGTTAGATTGTGAAATACAAACAATAATCGTATTCATGATATTGTGAAAATGCACTAGAATGTAGCAGTATGACAGTAGCCTAGTAGTAGATATTACCTAGGAAATGATTCCACTATATTGCTTGATTTTTATAATATAACGATGCCTTGTAGTGTTCATCATACTCGAATTGATAAATAGAGATAAATACATCAGTGATCACTCCCACTTTCGTGAAATGATATTATTTCCCGTAAGGTTGCATTGATAAAATGTGAGCAATTTTTTTAAGTAAACCGTGTAAATGAGGTTACATTACGAATAAAAGTAGATATTATCAGGTCACATTTTCCTACCTGTAATATATAGTACCAAGAGGACTCCAATCGGCAGTAGCCATATTTCCTGGATATCAGAGTTACCTCCCTTTCGATAAAGAACACGCCTCCAATCGTCTGAGACTGGAGAGTTCCGAGTACCTGCAGGGGAGGTTTCCGTATTTTATTTATAGCAGCGGAATTCCATCCTCTGGTGGGCGAGAGAGGAACCAATCAAAACAGATCATCAATGTGGTTTATGTAAGTATCACTCAGCAGTTTCATCATAACGTAAACAACTGCGATTCATGTAAGTATACCGTGCGTGTCCTCGATTAAGCAAGTTAGTGACTCTGGAAACTTTCACTGTAGTTGTCAGAAAATTGAACCGTTGATTTTGAAGTGAACATACTTGCCATGATTGACATGTCATGATGTATGATAGTTCATATGAATAAACTCGTATTCCAGCCAAGACCTACATCGAGCACACCTTGGTATAGTGCAAAGTCATCTAGTTATATGCTGGACTAGATGTATGATAATGATTCTGACACAAGAAGGATACGATCATAGCATTTAGGGTAAGCGGGGCGGTGTCATCCACAGCATCTAGTGTTGATCTGGTAGATCAGGTGGATAACTTGGCTATAGTTTGTCATACTTGGTTGAATTCAATCATATGCATGACTTTGCTAGTTTGTCATACTTGGTTGAATTCAATCATATGCATGAATATGGAATATAAATATAATTCACTGTTTAACCTCGTAGGGAGTTCGGAATAGTAAGTGATCTTGGTGTAATCAAACATTAAAAATGCCACAAATGCATATTTGCATGTGATTGATATGTGTTGAGTCCCCTTGTCACCAATTGTCAGTATAAATTTTGAATTGGAATTGCAACGTACATAACTGAAAATCCTGATTAGTACGTTAAATGTCAATGGGATGCACTGCAAGCAAATTAGCAAGGAATACTCAGTACTCAACAATATCAGCTCTTTGTTATTTACATAATGCTCATCACTGGAAAAAGTTGTTTAAAAAACTATCATGTTGTTAAGCGACCAAGGTGAAACAAGTTTTGAGTTTAGTTCATACTCTGAACTCATCTCATGACTTTCAACCTGTGTTTAGAATGACTGTGCGAAACCCACATATTGGTGTAATAAGAAAAAACATGGCACTTTGTAAAATTGGTTGTGATAGGTTGGTTTCGTTAAGTGAACCAATCGGTTTGCATGTTAGAGTTTCACACCTTTGTTGCCATGGGGTACACATCGGCTGTAAAACGCCAATATTAGTCTGAATGTCCTCCATTTTTCAAGAAAAAGCTATGAACACGTATTTGTTTTTGAAAAGGTATGTGCTTCCGTCTTTGCCAGTGGCTATCATTCAAATGAGCAGCAAATTGTAAGATGTGCATTACCCACCACATAAACAGTTATTGGCTTTCGGACACTTAAACATTTGTTAACAACAATAATAACAACAATAAAGTAGAACAAATCGAGAGGGTACAGACAAAGTTCATTAAACGAATTCTACATCTGCCTTTGACAACCTGCAATGATGCGATGCTCGGCTAAAGTGGACGACCTCTATTATATGTTTCTTATGTAAATAAATGTGTTAAATATTGGGCCAAAATAATCAACATGAATAACGACAGATTACCGAAGCAAACCTATCTTATGCTATATGGATTAGACAACGTCAACAGATCTTCCTGGGCCACAAAAATCAAACATATCTTATTCCAGTTTGGATTCGGGTATGCGGCTTGGGTTATGCAAGATATTGGACATATTGATATTTTCATGTCTGAGTTCAAACAAAGAGTGTCTGACTACAACATTCAACGATGGCAGGCTTCAATAGCATCTAACTCCAAGTTGACAGCTTATTCATCTTACAAAACAGTTCTGCATGCAGAATCCTATCTCTCACAAATCAGTTCCCCGCCATTGAAGCAAAGCTGCTTAACTAGATTCAGATGTGGCTGCCACCAGCTAATGATCAAAATGGGGAGACGCTTTGGGCATAGACATCGAGAACCGTTTATGTAGATACTGCCTTCGATATAATATCCAGCTTGTCAAAAACGAGTACCATTTTATCCTTGTCTGCTGTGCCTTCACCGACTTAAGAAAGCAGTATATTGAGTACAAATACTACAGTAACCCCTCATTTGAAACATTTGTTCGACTTATGTCTTCAAACCATCAACTTACTTCTGTGAATTTGTCTAAATACATATATTTTGCTTTGAAATTGTATGAATCACTCCATTTGTAATCACAATATTGAAATGTTTTGTACTGTGGGCCTGTGGCCTAAAAAAAAACGTAAATAAAACTCTATCACAACAATAATTGTACAGCATGCCATTAACCCAAAACATAATCCGACAACAACGTTAAATGTATTAGTCACCTTTATACTGATCATAATCATAAGGATCAGGTTGTCCAGTTGTTTTCAAAGTTTCAGGTTGAAAGACTTAGTATTACCTAGACTAGGGGCGGTGGGATAGCCTAGTGGTTAAAGCGTTGGTTCCATTCCCCACATGGGTACAATGTGTGAAGCCCATTTCTGGTGTCCCCTGCTGTGATGTTGCTGGAATATTGCTAAAAGCGGTGTAAAACCAAACTCAGTCAGTCAGTTAGCTAGACTAAGAAAACTGTTCAGTCAGTATTGGAATGTTCAGATGAGTTGTCATTATGAACATCGAGATATGGTTCATTTATAGTTTATTATTATTTCATATTTTTCAAATACTTTTTGATGTTAACTGTTGTGTTAATGTGTTGAAGAATGGTTTCTCTTGTTGACCTCACCTGGCTTGAAAGTCTAAAAAAATAGGTGAACTCATACTAGTAACTTGTAGCGTATGACAAAAAAACGTCACAGCAATTTGACATGGGCCACATTATTTTCTAAATGACCCACATAAGTAGGGGCCTAGGGCCTTGCCCAGATCACTTTTATAGGAATGCTGGAATGAACACTGAAGATGGCACACCATGCCATCTTAGTCCATTAAGAACATACAAGTCACAGTGGCTGAGCGGGTTAGGTTGTTGACTTTGTGTGCTGGCGATTAGGTGCCTGACTGAGGGTGTGGGTTCGAATCCTGCATGGGATTCAACCCAACCGAAAAGTACTAGAATCTGTTCTTTACTGAGAAAGTGTAATCCCAAATATAACATGTGTTACATTTGACCACTTTCTAAATGGCATTGTGTATTCACATTAAGAACATATTGTCATTTATCAAGTTGTCTTTTTTTCCATCTTATTATGTTAACCACTAGATATTTAGGAGATAATCATGCAGTGTTGGAAAATCAGAGGTATATAACGAAATTGTAATAGTTCTAACTTTGATTTAAAACTGAATGCGTAGCATGAGGTTTTGAATAAAACATTTAGAGCTATAATAATTTCATTATATACCTCTGATTTTCCAACACAGCATGTGTATCTCGATTCTACCATAACCGCATTATTAAGATTTAAAAAAAATACATACTGTGTTTGAAAATCAGAGGTTTATATAACGTGATTATATACCTCTGAATGACTTTAATTAACCAATCACAATGGAGTATTTATTGAAGTCATGGTAGAATTCCTATTTCTACTTAGGTTTCAGTGATGTTCCAAACTGTTGGGCTTGATAACTGTTTGAAGAAGGGTATAGCCACTTGTATCTAACAACCCTTTTGTTAGTTTTTTTGTTTGTTTGTTTTTTAAGACCCAATCAATAATATGCAAGTTTTTCAAGTCATTTTATTGCAAAAAGATCTCATAATGTATCCTATTACAAACATGTTAATAGTGCTGTTGATAGTTATTTTAGAATTAAACATAATTATCTTAATTTTTTAAAAGCTTCTTTTCAGTTATTCATTTATTGAAATTACTCCAAATACCTTGTAGACCAACCCTTATCCTTGAAAGGAATTTGGAATTACAATACTTATTTATGTTATATTAATTTTTCTCAGTGACATTTAACATCAGTGACGTAATCATGGTATTACTGGTAATTCACATATTATGAGACTAACATCTTGTCTCTGATATGAACATATTGTACACACAGATAGAAGGTATCTTAATAGAATAGAATATAATGGAGCCAAGATACCTCCTTATTTCTGACTCTGCAGTGAACCGGGAGTGCTGATTGGAACAGACTTACATGGGCTGTATGGAAGAGTTTATTCAGGGTCTTTATGACAGGCAACAGTTTTGTAAACAGTTAATGTTAAGCCTTCATGCAGATAACATTATTAATTTATTTCCTATTCATGAGGCAATCTGCAATGAATAAGGGACATGACTAGCTCAGGAAATCCTTATTCAGGACATACGTGCCTTGACTGTATAGTGTGTGTCTGTGTGTGTGATACAAGGAGGCAAGTGAATATACTGAAGTCAGTTTCATGAAGAAATATCTGAACTTTCTAGGTAAGTGTGCTATCTTTTTTTATCTACAGCCTAGTTCTATTTAATTTTGGATTACAACAATTCATCATGACAGGCATTTTGTATTGACATTTGGTATTAATATCCTTGTTACTTGTATGTTGTATTTGCTGAGTCATGAGCCTTGTACTGTATTTTCCATGATAAGCTCATTGACACTGAGAAATTAACAATCTGGGACTTACTAAAACAGCTACAAAATAAATGTGTTGTCAGAGATAAAGCAGTAGTGACCGAACCTAGCTGAACAAAATCTAATGTATGCAAGAGATTATAGACTGTCATGTTAATGTCCTGTTTTGATAGGGTCTCTAATTGTGATTACATATTGGTCTGGAAGTTGGTCAGGGAGGACAGACTGAGGGCTCTTACTGCAGTAAACATGGTAATCCGATTTCAAGTGATATCATATATCAGTCAGTAGTGGACAAGGCTTCATGTATCAAGTTAAGGAGCTGAATGTAAACAAAGAATGAAATATCTGTTTGGGCTGAGAGAGTTTAAGGCAGTCATCCATTATTATCATTATAAGTTTCTAAGGGGTCAGTAGCTATTGTAAAGGCCAATGTTTGTTGTATATATAATCGTTGCAGGAAAGATAATGAGCCCGATGAAAGTGGTCAGATATTTTGTTTACAAAAATTGATAAAATGTTGATATTTAGCATGTTCAGTGACTTCATCATGTTTACGATAATGAACATTCATATATCATTCTGTGAAATTGGTAGAGGAAACTTTTTGTTTCAAAGGATTTCACAATTCACGTTGTACTACCAGATACCATCTTATTATATAGACCCTCTGGTACCACAAATACCATCTGTATAGTAATAATGCAGACGTGTACAGTAGTTGCCATAAGTGAGTTGTGATTAGTGAAATTTCCATAGACTTACATGTTAATTAACTGTTTCAAGAATAATTTTCATAAACTGAGTAGAAGTAATTTTAATTTGATATTTTGCAAACATCTTGGAAATCATCTTCAGCTACGTGTACACAATTTTCTTTCATCTTTCCATTGACTAGTTATTGAGTGACACCTGATTAAGCACCATATATAAGTAGAACTTTTAATCTATCCCATAGACAGCCATGTTAAACCTGATGGGTAATGGTCTATAAATGTTGTTTAATTAGTTGCAGTTTTTTTAATAATCATCGGAAAATTGAATGGAAATTATGTGTATGTAGCTGGAATGATTTCCCAGCTGGTAGATAAGTATTAAAAGCAATTCGACCGAAACTTAATTTATGAAAATTATTCTTGAAAGAGTTAATTAACATGCAAGTCTATGGGATTTTCACTAATCAAGACTCACTTATGGCCAACTACTGTATATTTGATTTCCTTAGATGTTTTCTTGAACATAATATGTCACAGTTTGAAACATATATACATTTTATAAAGCATTCTCTCATTTATTAGTCTCCTTTTTGCAAATGCAAGACATGATAAGATGAGAGCCATTATCAGCTCACAATAATCCACAAAATTAAACTTGTAGAAAGCAGATTGTTAAAAAATGTTTAACTGTACAAATTTCTGATAAAACTGATTGTTTACACTTTTCAGACCTACACTTGATATAACTAAATGTTACTCTTTTAACTAGGTGTAGTGTGTTGTAAGGTTAGATACAATGTTACTCTTTTAACTAGGTGTAGTGTGTTGTAAGGTTAGACACAATGTTACTCTTTTAACTAGGTGTAGTGTGTTGTAAGGTTAAACAGATCATCAGGACTATTTTTCTGTGTATCCCATCTCACACACCAACCCAGACCTTTATTCCAAAGTAAAATAAAATGAAAAGTATTTTCATCTCAGTTTTCCCTGTCATTGTGGAAATTTATGCCCTGATTTAAAAAAAAGTACCTTTGCACTGTTAAAAAGATCCAGCTAAGCCTGATCTTTCCTTATCAGAATTTTGAAACAGACATATTGTTTCCAAAGCCAAGTGACTCAATCTTGTTCATAAGCTAATTTAATGACTATTACCAAATGATCTAAATTTTAAAATTGAAAACCTGCTCTCTTGGTTGGAGACAGTTAGCCTTCTGGACAGGTGTTTTTGTATCAACCACCCACCACTGAACTGTTAACATGGTTATATTGCTGCAGCTGGTAGACCTACACTGGTGTACTCCGCTAGTGTAGATCATGTAATCTAGTGTTGGGCAATCAGATAAGAGTGTGGGATCTACCTGGTGTTTACCTAATGTGTGGTGTTCCCGTATCACATAGTCGTGTGTGATACGTGGCACAGGGATATACGTCTGTCACAAAAAATATCAAATCTGGATATACCATGGCAGCTGGTACAAATATCATGTGGTGAGATATATCATGTGAAGTTAGAAAGGAGGAATGTGTAATTTGAAAATTACGTTTGTGATCCATGACTGTGTATGACAGTGTACTCGGTGCCAGCCTGTGTGTGCTGTAGTTATCACAGCTGGAGCGTTGTAATTGCTAAAGTTAAAAACATCAACATCATTTTACAATTTATTTATTATTCATGAGTAAGGATTATGAGTTCTGTTGAGGGTTTATTATTATATTTTATTTAATTGTAATTTGCATATACCTGCAACACCTGTGACGTATCAGTGGCATATCTCGATCATGCCTTTCTGGAGTATTTTCAAGGATTCTTTGTTTAAACATTTGGTCAACCCTTCTTTAAATGCCATGTATGTTTTTAGAGTAAAACTTGGACTATATGACCACACTTACAATTGAACTAACAATTGTTTAGATAGAGATCATAGAAACATTATGTCATCTTTGCCATAGACATTATCATCATCATCATCATCATCATCATCATCATCATCATCATCGTCGTCATCATCACACAATGCCATGTATGTTTTAGAGTAAAAAAATCATCATCATCACACACATATTGTGATATTATTTATCATCATGAATTTGAATGTTGAGGTTTAAACTGATGATTTTACATCAGCTTAATGTGAACTGGGAATAACCAGTTGATTATATCAGGGTACAATCCAACTGGGTCAATGTCTTGTTACCATGGTTACACCACTGCGTTATAATGTGCTGTGTCACTTATATGAAGGTAAGTCAGTTGACATGGTTAAATAATGGCTGCTTTCTTGTTATTATATCAAACATGCAAGCCAGGCTTATTATGTAAAGTAATATCTACAAGAGGAAATTCCACAAGCTACAGTTATTGATTTCATTTTCCTTTTAGTCTAAATGTTAATTTGATATATCTTCAGGAAGTAGGAAAAAGTGCTTGTTGATAAACATGACCCATTAGCAGAGCTGTCACAATTTAGTTAACTATGCAGAATAGGGCGTTAAAAAAGTTATTTCAGTCAATGTCCAATCAGGGACCATATGGTCCAATACAATCATGAGGATGTCTATTTTGTTTATGGCAGATACAATCTTTCCTGTGCTTGGCCTCATACTGGAATAGGTTTGTTTCCATAATCAATTAAACATCAGCAAGAAGTAGTCTATGGTCTGTAGAATATTGTGGCTCTATATATCTGGCATTACAAAACCATATTTCTTTGCCTAATTATATGTTGCTGGGCTCATACACATGTTACCATGGCTGTCCATTACTGACTGATTTTCAGATAATGTACACAAGATGTTTTTAACATAAATACAGTTGCCACCACATTTGGTAGAGCATGGGATTTGTTGGTTGGTTGGTTGGTTGTTTAATGCCCCACTCAGCAATATTCCAGCTATATGGTGGTGGTCTGTAAATAATCGAGTCTAGACCAAACAATCCAGTGATCAACAGCATGAGCATCAGTCTATGCAAACGGGATACAATGACATGGTCAACAAAATCAGTGAGCCTGACCACCTGATCCCGTTTGTCGCCTCTTACGACAAACATGGGTTGCTGAAGACCAATTCTAACCCGGATCTTCATGGGTCAAGCTTACAAATACAAAAGGGTGCTTAAAGTTGTTTTTGTATGTTATTATTCACCTTTTCGAGGACACTCAGACTGGACTGCAGGTTGATGGGGATTCCACCAGACAGATCAGTTCAGTCATAAAGATGACTGGCCATCAATACAGATATATTTAGGAGGTACAACACTCCAACAAGGGTGTTTATGTTAAATTAGTGTTTTCTCATTTTTCATTACTCTCTGTTGCAAATATTGTAGCTATTGTAGTTTGTACTGGATGAACAAACAAGAACTCTGCTTGGGGGACACTCCTTCGATATTGAGGATCTTAAGCTCCTTCCCCCTGTGGGACTATTCTTCCTCTCCAGTGGACTCATTTATCGTAACATTTAACTAACTCTTCTCTACTGCTCAATTATAAATCTCCAAGTTTGGAGGGGCTAAAGACACTCACTCATCTATTGTATGCAGAAAGTCAATCAGTTGATTTTTTAGGTAAATTCGTTTTTCAGTTGTTGGATAGGTTATGTGGAGTAGCCTAATGGTTAAAGTGTTCGCTTGTCATGCCGAAGACCTGGGTTCGATTCCCCATATGGGTACAATGTGTGAAGCCCATTTCTTGTGTCCCCCATCATGATATTGCTGGAATATTGCTAAAAGTAGCATAAAACAAAACTCACTTACTCAGTTGTTGGATAAATATGTGGACTATCAGTGTATATTATTGCTTTCTTATATATGTATAGTGTTCAGATTATCATCATCATTATCATCATCATTCATGGTATCTCTGAGCATGAGGAATGCTGTTATGGGGATTTTAACACAAGTGATTTTGATGTGGTCAGAATCTTTTGATGGACTCGACTGCTGATGAGGATACCTGTTTATTTAATCAACAAGAACACTTGAATGTAACTCTAGATGCTCAAACAGTGAAGAGATCACACTAACAATTCAACTAGGTTTTGTCATCATCACTTGGGATTTTGCTAGGTTTCATCCAGTGGTTCAAGTGTTTGCCCGTCACACCAAAGACAGGCTTCAGTTCCCCAGGTGGGTCCAATGTGTGAACCCATGTCTGGAATCCCTGGTTGAGATATTGCTGGAATATTGCTAAAATACAGCATAAAACTCACTCACTGTTTCAAGTTGATACTCACCGTTTCAGGTTGATACAGAGGACTGCTCGGTTGCTGCTTGCCGTGAGTCTGGTAAAGAACAGCGCCCCCTCCATTAGCTGGTTTGCTATGGGAGATTTGGCATCCAAGATGTCTATGATCACGAAGGAAGAAGCTTTGCCAGGTTTGTGTGATGTATGATGTTGAATGACAAAACTTTATTCTGAGTGTTTCTTTCCCCAATATTTGAATTGCTATCTTTCCTTGTTTTGGAGGAGGACTAAAAACTAAAACTCATCAAGCATATCTGTTTGAAATGTTATAGGTGAGGTGATATTGGGTTTATCGGCCCTGTATGCTTGAATATTCAGGATTTGAAATGCATTTGCGTTGTGTATGTGTATGTGTGGCTTGCTTGTACTAGCCCAGACTGAAGCTGGTTTTATAGTGCTATCCCACTGAGATACCATGCCGCAGGTGAATACCCCACTTTTACACTTAAACACATTTTACTGACTCGAGCCGAAGTCCTTGTTGTACCCATTAATGCTCCATTTTAACGTCTTTTGGTATGATGGGATTGAACCCGGAAAATACCTTCCGCTCTCTCGGGCGGACGATAACCACTACACCCTGCTGTTATAGAAATACCACAAACTAAAAGTGAGGTGCTTTCTTTCTTTTCAATTAATTTCCTCCAGACCATGCTAAGATGCGTTTAACTCTGCTGTAAATTGTAACTCAGTTTTAGAGATCTCAAGCTAGCATAATCGCTAAAGAATAAACAAAGAATGTCTCCAGAGAAAGTTTAAGTGATAGTGTGACCCCTATTCACGGATATTTTGTAATACTTTTTTATACCAGTTTAATTGGTTCTTACTTTTTGTGTATCATTTTGTGTCGATACTTAATCTGATGATACTTTAATCCTATCATCTCACACTTTATTGAAAAACTTTGGCCACTACACCATTTGAAAAAGGTTTCTCCCTATCAATCAAGGGACTTGAAATCTGTTAGTATTTTTACACCATAATAAAGAGGACATCAAGCATAGTGAGTGCTCCTGCTTCAGGGCGGAATGAAGGGCTGAAGGTGTCACCAAAACACGCTGTTAATGGAAACCCAACTGTACCTCCATTCCCAGAAAACATGAAGATGGCCATGATCGGTAAGATTGCTCGTTGCCTGTTAAGCACTCAGTGTCCAGTAAAACAGGTGCTTGCCTGTGTATTCTCAGAGATGAATTATTGGGAACATTGGAGAATGATACAGCATTATCACTTTGGCTGTGACAAGGTTAATTACCAGTGTTGATAATGGCTCAGATTCCTGTGATAACACCAGGTTGGTCACTTTCATGTCTCTTGTCCCAAGTCTTATTGAGATCTGTTAAAAGCAGTTATAAAATTGCCTTCTGTACAAATAAATGTTCAATGAACCTTTAGAACTTGTTTGAAGCTGTGGGTACCTGGATATGCACCATGATATTCTATGGATTTGGTTGTAGTTATTTATAGGAATGCCACAATATTTCATCTGTGTAAACATTTACCCACTGTAGCTATGGTTACATGAAGAGTGTCCACAGAGACTCTAATGTTTGCTTCCATCACCAGGTATGGGATGCTTCTGGGGAGTGGAAAGAAAATACTGGAAGGAAAAGGGCGTCTACTCTACTCACGTAGGCTTGGCTTTCATTGCTGTCTGACTGTACAGTTGTACTAAACACATATCTCTGACTTCATATATACCTGAAAATGCCTTGCATTTCCCCCACCAATCCACAACAGTAAATCACCTGAAAGAGAGATGTCTTTTAAGTTGAAAGAGTTAAGATGTATTAAAAACCTTGATGAAATATGTGGTATGCTCTCTCGAGTCGGTAGCTGAGGGTTAAAGAGTTAAATCTCAATTTTAATTATTACAAATCGTCTGCTTCTGTTTGAGAGAAAAATGGTTGAATAGGTAACAGAAAGAATGGAAATAAAGGCAGGGCACCACAAACAGATATGCATGTGGCACTGTGTGTCGTAAGATAAGTAATATATGACGTGGGGGATCATTGAATGGGGTTGAATTTGACGACGCTCTGTTGACAGGTTGGCTATGCAGCCGGCTACACCAAGAACCCGACATACAGGGAAGTGTGTACAGGCCAGACAGGGCATTCCGAGGTCGTCAGAGTTGTGTACGATCCTGAAAAAACAAACTTTACAAGGCTGCTACAGGTAATTTGACACATTTTTTTCTTTCCATTAATGATATTGTATTTCATGAAACATCATAAACTGTGTGATCCAATGTTCCTGACAATCTCATTATATTCAGATAATTCTCCAGCAATACCTCAATGCTTGAATATCCAGAGGAAACCTAAATGGAAGGTCGTATTGATGAACATTTTATTCAGTGTCGAGGGTTCTAAATTCTCGCTGTTAATGATCAAAGTATTCAGACTGATTTCTGTGTCTCTGACTCACATGTGATCAAGTTGGTCCAAATGCGAAAAAACCCAAAACATCAGATTAACAGTTTAGAAAGCTGATATTTGAATTGCTCCCAAACCCACACAGCTTTCATTTAGATTTGTTGGTCAAAATTCGTCAACCATTCACCTCAGATGACCTCCTTAATGGATATCTTGACGCAGATAGGTAGCCCATTAGATGCACCAATATTGTTTATTAAGAAAATAGTGTCTTGTGAGTATATTTGGCCAATCAACAGTATTTCAGATTTATCATATTTGGGATGTGAGCAAACATGAACATGTAAGATGTTACTAAGACAAACATGCTAGACATCATCACTACTGTACATTTCAGGTATTCTGGGAGAACCACAACCCCACGCAGGGCATGCAGCAGGGGAATGATTCCGGCACTCAGTACCGATCAGGTATTTACTACTATGATGACGAACAAAAGCAACTGGCTGAAACATCCAGGGATGCCTACCAAGAGCTGCTGACGAAAAAAGGCTATCCTCAAATTACCACTGAGATCCTACCAGTCCCGGAGTTCTACTACGCGGAGAAGACTATCACCAACAATATCTGTATAAAAACCCAGGTGGATATTGTGGGCTGGGTGGTGTCGGGGTGTCATGCCCTGTAGGAGTGTTTGGAAAAAACAAGAAAAAAGATGAATTGTAGGGTCTTGTATGGGCTCCCTTTTACAAAGTTGTATATGTGCTACTTTCAGGATTTTTTCTCACCTCATTGTACATGGCTCAGGACCAATTCAACATTGAGATATGATGTCATTGTTCAGGTTTTCAGTCATTGTGCTGCCAATCAGTTTAGGAACAAGATGTGTACACAATTCACAGAAATAATCTTTGCCTACAGGTGAATATTGTTATACAGAAACATACTTAGATCACATGCAACACTTTGTTACCCTCATGGAATGTGTTATATATCCTCAGAAAGTGGAGGTCAGGCTCGATTGATTGAAATACCCACTCAACATTCATAATACCCTCTCTAAAAAAATACAGTGGGTACAGTACCCACATGAGCTAAATCTTATCTGGAGCTCTGCTTAGATCACATGCAACACCTTTTTACCCTCATGGAATGTGTTATACTGGTTTGGACTGGTCCTGTGGATGTAATAGAAGGTGTCTAAATGTAAGTGGAGGTCAGGCTCGATTGATTGCGTGTCAATACATACAATGTTTCAGATTGTTGCTCTTAATGTTTACAGAATGAAAATAGCTGGAATATCGATGAATGTGATGATAATCAACAAACACGCACACTTGTTTTGGGGCAGTCAGAATGTGGGCTCTTACGTCTTGTAACAATACCAGTGATATTAATAGTGAGTTATTTCACTGTCCTTTATTGCAAAATGTGTACATGGACGTATAACCAGCATGCTAGACCTGTTGGTGTATCATGTCCAAATGTAGAACCAATGTGATTATATACTGCTCCAAACAAGTTAAGAATGCCCACACTTGGAAGGCTGTGTTACAATACCAACCATACACGACAGATGTCACATAAAACACACAGGTTCTTTGAATTTTTTAGTAGTGTTCTTTACATTTTTTGCCGATTACCCTTGCAGCAATTATAGCCAATAGCCTTATTTTTACTTTACATTAGTGACAGAAAAACAACACAATGTTGATGATGTAATAAAAAGTAGTGATTTTTCCCAGTACACCTGTGATATATGTAGATCTGATGTTCAGTGGATATGTTTGCTACCTAACACTCTGTTCATGAAGATGAACATGTAACAATGTATTCGACTCTCACTTGGTATAATGGTTCAGTTTGTTCATAAATTTGTAAATAAAATCTTCAGTGTACAATTTTCCATTGTCTGTTTATCAATGCCAGCCTCATACCAGCCTGTCTGAAGTCTTTCCTTACTCATTTGATGTAATTCCAGTGTGACTTTAGAAATGGTTGGCCCCAGTTTGAGATCTCTAAGTGGCCATTTTTTTTATTATAGGAGAGTCAGGACCAGTGAGATCTGAGGGGCATGGATGGCAACAGGAAAATCTATCACCTGAAAACTTATTGGTCATTGAAAAGCCGGAGAGAGAGAATTGAGAGAAATAGGGGTAAGAGAAAATTGATGGATTCACAGAATTGATTAATTTGAAATTACATTGTCGGAAATCCTCAGAAAAAATCACTGGAGGGGGTAGGGGTGACCATCAAACTTATCACTACCATAGGGGGTGTGGAAGGGAGGGAGGTGGGCACAGTGAAATAAAGAAAGCTCCTCTCTTTCAAATTTGAACTTAATAAGAAGGAACTGCTCATCTATTATAGGGTGTGTTGAAAATGTTTTACACATATTTCTAGAAGGCTATGTAAAAATATGTTGCATGAAATGCAGTCCTGGGTAAAACGAAATATGATAGAATTCCAAGACCAACTAATTTTAGTGAAACATGTTAATAGTCGGTGAACATCAAATGTCCAGCACTAAAATGCTACCGGTTATTAAATCCCATAAGACCAAACAATACAGTAGTGGTAGTTAATATTACCAGCAATAGATACTAAAGTCGTTGATAAAGCCTGAGGTGTCTCTTTACAAGGTCAGTCATTATGAAACATAATTATCTCTATGTGTGCTGGGCAAATCAGCCATTCCATTTATCCCCTAGAAGTTCACTGAAAAATGCTTTCAATGGTGTTGTTCGGGCCATGACTTTTGACTTTATGTATGTATTGGTTGGAGTTTTACAGCCTTGTTTGCCACAGAACCAGGCCAAGAACAAGTAAACCAGCTACTGAAAAATAATCCAGCAAATCTGGATGCAAACACAGCAATACTGCCAATGCCTTGATACTCAGCAAGAGAGGTTCTAAAATCAAACCTTGCAATATGATATATCACTGAACAAAGAAATTAGGGATCATGAACATATTTTGGGATATTCTTATGAAACTGTGTGCACAGTCATCACTACAAAAACACACCCCTAAAAATATGTGATCCCTAAATTTTCTTGTTCAGTATACACCTCAATGGTTCCTATATTTTGTGGATGGTCATTGCAATCCTCTGATATCGGCATATGTACCAACAAAGATAAAAAATACAACTAAATGAATAATGTGTATGTAACAGTTTCTAGTTGTAAAACAGACATTCTACTTCTGGGTCACTTCAACTCCCAGCTGTGTGCAATCATGAGACTTGCATATACAGCTTGCTATATATGGAGGAGAGTCTGACAGCAGCTTGAGTCATCGTTAATTGTCAGTGCCATGCATACCAGTACTTCAACATTACTGGTATCATATTTCACCCAGAATCAAATATCCATGAAAAGGAAGACAAGAACACAGTTGATAAAAGTTGACATTTTTATAGCCATATTGCATTATTAGATACACAAGCATTTACAGAAATCTGTGCATTCAATTTGTGAAAAATTATACTACACTTGTACCAATTTTACAATTATGATGGAAAACGTAGTATCACACACTTAAATCCCCATCAATACCCCTGTAACAATACATACAAATGACACTGAACAAAAACAATGTGGGGATAAGTGGATGATGTAATGACCATGGCAGCAAGTATAGTCACTCGACCATACATACTTGTTTTAAAATGAAATAAGAACCAACTAGAATCTTACAACCCTCCTTCCCTCATTCCTAAATCTGAATCCTAACAGAACGTGCGCATGTTCACTGGATTCTATTTGGATTCAGGGAAGGAGGTAAATATCAATATTTTACAATTATATATTTACACACTGAACAAACCTTGTGTGGCCGTTCAAAAGTTAACAATTCTCTTCTTTGTTTGGTGGGATGTGATATGAGGTTGAGCCTATTATCTACACTGTACAAGAGAATAATAAAATCTAGCTTCTTTTTTCTTTCTTATTATCACATTTGAGAAAAAGCACCTCAATAGAAAAATCTGGTTTGCAACAACTGCAAATGTGTCAATTTGTTTAAAATTTTAGAGAAAACACCTTGCAATCTGTACAGCAATAATGAATTCTTGAATTGGTTGAGGACAGATGATTGGCCAAAGTCCTGATTCACTACTAAGTAAAATCAACGACATTAAAAAGTTTCTTCATGTATTGCTATTTTTGCTACATTTTCCTCTCCATTCCTTGCTTATATTAGTAATCCAACCCTGAATAGAAGGCATGCTGCATAACTCCATTTCTTGGAAGTTATTACTGGTAACAATTCTATCTTTGTTCCAACATTACCAGGGTTACCATGGTTACAGTACACAGTCACTAACGACAGAATTCAATAAATAAATATATTTACAAAATAGGCACATGCATTACATATGCTGCAAGTGGAAAAGTTATCAAAAGAAATTCTTATTTGAACACTATTTACAGTGATAACGCCTGCCTTATTATCCAACAAGTGACTTCTTTCAAGAATCTACAAACAATAGCATAACACAATGTATGTTAAATAGCAATACAGGAATTTTCTCCTTAATGTTAGAAACAACATCTCATTAACATCTTGTTCAGATAAAGAAAAGATTTATTGCCCCTCACATCTAGTCAAGCACTTTCCTAAAAGTAACATATCAATTATGGAATTACAGGGATGGAAATAACCCATTGCCCGACGCCCTAGTCCAGTGTTTTATTCTGTCGGGCAAGCAAATTTGTATATCACACTGTACCGGTGTCCAGTTGACTTTCCAATGTTAATTATGTTCTTTATGTAAAAAGTCAACAAGAAAACAGCTGGTATAGTGGAAAAATTATCAGGGCAAGTGATTTTACATGTGCCACTGTACCGGAGTACACTAGCAATTTAAAAGTTATTTCCACCCCTGAATTATATCATCTACCAACCTAACTGGCATATTCAGTTGTGATGATGCCAGAAAGGGTTTGCCCCCAATTCAGCTTCATGGTTCAATCCACTGAACTCAGTTATATCCAACTGTGGAAATTAGTTGGAACTGAAGACCTAAACTCTTTAAAGATTCTGTACCATAGGCTTACCCACTGTCTGCATTAATAATCCAATGAGAACACGGTTGTATGTGGTTTTTAACTCAAAACCCTTGTGTCAAGAGTTTCATACAATATCCTTTAATAGTATCCTGTATAGGAACAGAGCAGTTGTTAAAGATGTAGGATGGCATATGTAGTTTCTTTCTAAGCAGAGTGCAAACTGGTCTGACTCCAAACCATGTCATTAAAATGCCAAGTCTAATAATCTGGGGTAAAAACAATGTTGAAGTGCCTGATGGAGCCAAACCATGGTGTCATCCAAGGCTCTAGGAGTGATGAAGTGATGCTACTGCAGCCTTAGATCCCTTCCCCGAACAGTTAGCAGGCTTGTACAGATATGGCTAGCAAGGCAAGGTGCACCCACAGGTTCTAAGCAAGGTAACTGTAAGTGTCCTTTTGTCCATCAACTCGTTCTAAGTACTCCTTCTCTATCAGAATGTCAATACATTTCTGAAACAAACAAAAAAGGATTGGATATAGGGTATGATACATTCATTCACTTTGTTTATTTAGTATTTGTTTACATATAAATACTAAAGTGTTAAAAGATAATGCTGGTACAGTTTATCTATTAGTCTAAAAAAAATCAAGTGCCTTTATGTGCATTATGTTTTTGATGACAGAGAATCAAAATGTAGACAGATTTTTAGCAAATTAATCAATTATTTTTTTGCCTTGATTCACACAAGAGAGTGAATAAGTATGAGTATATGCTGCTTCTAGCAATATTCCAGCATTTCCACAGCTGGGGACACCAGAAATGGGCTTCACACATAGTACCCATGTGTGGAATCAAACCTGGGTCTTCAGCATGACAAGCGGACACTTTAACCATGAGGCTACCCTACAGCCCCTGACACAAGAGATAATTTATCAGATAATGAAGTCCTTATAGAGACATTTAATATTGTCTGGTATTGCTGCTTACCTTAATAACAGGCACTCGGGGCTTGAAGCGAGAGGACAGTTGATTGAGGACCTCTGCTAGTAGGTGTTGGTGTTTTAGGACTTTCCTCATCTTCATGATTCTCACTATGGCAGCCTAGAGGAAGGAGGAATTTGTGAAAACGATTCACAAAGAAACAACAACACCTAAAACCTATCATACTATCTGATTTCAAACCCATTCCAAAACAAACTGACTTTCTCCCCTTTGTTTCTGCCAGAAATCACTTCAATATTAAATCTCAACAGGTACTATTTTAAAAGAGCTAACATTTTCACGTTTAAGTCTTTATAACACTACATGGCTGGAACAGTACCCAGAGAATACTGTATTCACTAGCAATATTTGAAACTTGTTTAACTCTTCCTGGCAAACTGTTTTTAAAAGACGACAAACCCAAATTGAGGCCATAAGGTACACTCAGGGTAACTAGCATTTAAAATCGCTGATATATACATACAGTAATCAATATCAGCATGACTACTGTGAGGTTTGTTTGAAAACAAATTTCAATTGTATCTTAAATTCCTCAAAATGTGCAAATCTTCCTATCACAAGTAAAACCAATTCATAAGTAATTAGTTGTATATGTGACAATGTCCATATGAAGGTCTATATGTCGAACTAGGTGGTGTATATGGATTGAACCTTGTAAAGTATCACTTAATTTCTGAAACTTCCAATAAGTACCTGTATGAGTAGTTTCCTATCCTCCTCTATATGTTTGTGTGTTGATTCTTGTTCTGCTTTCACTTCGGTCTTCATGGGAACATTGATGTTCACTCTTAGTTTCTTACTGTTAACAGAGTAGTGGAAATGTGCATCATAATACCAGCTACAAAGCATATAATACACAGACAGTTTGGAGGAACGCATCAGCAGGGAATGAAGTTGTTCATTATTCATTAAAACATTAACCAAATTCTGTAAACAGATTTGCTTTTTGTTGCTGTTTAATGAAACATTCATTGTTGTTTAATGAAACATTCAGTCATATTCTAGCTATCATGATGACAGAATGTAAATAATAACCAGGGCCCCGTTTCACAAAGCTCTCGTAAGCCTAAGATCTCGTAACTTTTCTCGTAGCAATCATACCTCCCATACTGTAACATTGACTTACGATAGTTGTAGCGCTACGAGAGCTTTGTGAAACGGGGCCCTGGATCAGACAAAACCAGTGATTGGTATGAAGAACATCGCGAATGATGGCCAAAAACAAACCAAGTCTCACAATATTTAGTTGCCTCTTACAACAAACATAGGTTGATGGAGTCCCTCCAACCCTAAATCCTTGCTGGTGACAAGGCAGATAATGTTCTGAACAGGCAAGATGGGGTTAATTCTTTGAGGTCAGGAGAAAACAATCTGCATGTACAGATATTAGCTGCCATCCTGTTCAGTATCTAACATACAAGTATCTACAAGCATCATAACATGACATGTTAATTTGATTTTGAATGTTATCCAACAAGAAGACAAAGTCATCAATATCCCCCGCAACAGTGCCAACTTTGACATGGCAATACAATATCTATAAGGAAATTACAACAGGCATGCATATCAAGGTTGGTAAAGCTAGCATGGAGAGTTTGGGAGATTTTCTCCGGACAAAATGACTTCTTCATAGAGTCACAGTTCGAGTCACGTTTCCATTGAAACCACAAAAAATAAAATTCACACACTGGTGTAACCCCCAAAGGGCACATCTATGGATCATGGTGAACATATGTAACAAGATTGATGAAGCTAGCATCTATAGTTTGGAAGATCTGCTCCGGACAAGATGACATCCTCATAGTCACAGCCTAAGTCATGTTTCCATGGAAACAGTAGAAAATAAAATTCATATCTGGGTCTAGCCCCCAAAGGGCACATCTAGGGATCATGGTTGACATGTGTACCAAGTTTAGTTAAGCTATCACGAGTAGTTTAGGAGATATACTTTGGACAAAGTGTGACAGACGCACGGACGGACAGAACTCGTTTCTATATCCCCTGCAACTTCGCGGTTGCGAGGGATTATTATTTTATTCACTGAAGTCAAAAATATCAATTAACCACTGAACTGGTGGGAGGAGCTCACTTTTTATATCCGAGGAAGAGTGCTAGCTGAGACGAGGGTTGGAGGTTGTTCTCGTCGTCATCAGCAACCAAGAGTTTGGATTTCAGGAGGATCTGCAACACCTGCACTAGGGTGTCCTGCAAGGAAGAAGGAAACTCAGCACATTGTCACAATGCTCTGCATGCTCAGGTAAAGTATTCCTACTTTTCACCATTACCTCGAGTTTGGTGAAAAGCAAGCTTTCTAAGCCTCATTCAAACTGCCTCTAGCTAATATACTGAGGAAGCAAAAGGCATACCCACAATAACGACGCTACTTCACTTCAAATGCTATCACTTTCAGGTTTGGGCAAACAAGATGCAAGACAATTTAATTAGTAACAGTAAGTCCCATGCCTGCAGTTATATTTGAGCAAGAGTCATCAAAAGATGACAAATCCCTGGACCCCACCAATTCAAAAGAACAAATCATCTGATCGTTACAGCAAGTGACCTGTCCAACTTTATGACAGTATTCCTATCTTCCTGTCTGTCCAGGAATAAGAGTAGTTTTGACTTCTTTTGTAGGTCATTCAAATCATTTTCTGATCTTTGGTCACCCTTAGGAATGCATCTTTTGATTACATTCACCTACAGTTTATCTTTCATTTTAAACTATGACCTTAAGGTTGACCTTGACATCAATGTGTCAAAGACATTTCTCAGCACTATTTACAAGACATGTATGATATGACAATCCTAACATGCCCAAACACCCTCAGTTAAATTCAGGCAAAAACCTAAAGGCCTCCCTGTTTACATGGGAATGTTACTAGCAATCATTTTGGGTAATATTTGTAAGACTTTATGGAAAATTGCATTGGCAGGTTCTGGTTAATTTCTCCAAAAGAATCTCCATATATCTAAGATGAGTGAATGTCTGATTCCGGCTCACCATCTTTATCTGTGTAATCTCCATCAGCTGCTGTACATTGAAGGATACTTCCGAGTTGTATTGTAACAGGACGGCCATTTGAAACGTAGATGCCTGAGAAAAATTAAAAGAAACTGTGTTCATGGCAATTTTACTTCCCTTTCATATGACATAGTGATCAGAAATGTACGGTCCTAGTGGAATCTTTATCAGAGTCTTGTTTTAATATATGCACTGTACCTGTCTCAGACTATGAATAAGTCAATTTTCTACATTTCCCAAGAAATGTTTCCACCACTTCAGTTAAGAACTTCAAGTTTACATGGTTGCCCTGTTCTCTAAGTGACTCCACGAAGGGTGGGGTTGTAACGCGGGGGGATAGAGAGTGAGTGGGAGTGTGTAAATCAGAAATGGGTACAACCTACTCTATCACATATTAGTTGGAAACAGAACATGAGTCTTTAGCATCAAGGGCCAACACTTCACCCACTGGGCTATCCTACTTCTCCTTTCAGCAAACTGTAATGGTCAACCAGCAGAGATCTGATTGAGGAAGCAGCACAAGTGCAAATAGCCACACCAATTCTTGGTCACAGCCGAGAAAGTGTGTCTCAAATGCATGGGTACTTGGGACCCCTAACCAGACATCAGATATAGAAACCTAGATGCAGCTATGTGAAATATACGTACCTGCAGTGTGTATCTGTTTTTAAAACAATTTGTGACTATTTCTCCCTTAGACATGTGGTATAACCAGTTTAGCTTTCTCCCACTGTGTTGACTGCTATAAAATGATGTGAATCTCTGGAAACTTCGCTCCAACTGAAAATTCAAAAGCATCACATTCAATACAAAAATACTAGGGAAAATGTAATACTTTATTCTTCTATCTTGAAATAATAACTTCATAAAAGTAAACGTGAATCTTGTATTATGCCTTGCAATCATTTTTCTAGCAACATGATACTGGCGAATATATATCTGTGTCAAGGACACACACCTGCCACTTGCCACCTGTATGACAGGCATGGGGAACTGGGGACATTATCTGTCCTGTTATCCCAATATAGCAGGATTTCTGTGCTGTATTTGTATACCTGTATCTCTATCTACTCAGTCATACCTCAACTGGAAGGTTGAAGCTACACGACTGCTGGAATGGCCACGACCCTGAACTCAACACCTGGATACTAAAGTCAACTGCAACACAAAATATACATGAACACATGGTAGTAAGGAGGAGAAAGGACTCGGTAACAGAGTGGCAACTTTGTTGGTCAGTAACATAGAAAAACCAGGGGACAAAAGAATACATAATGTTTCACTCTGCAATATCGCAGCTAAGTGAACACACAATCCACTGTATGACATAATGAGAATTGATCCCAATAACTGGTCCATGATTAAATCAACAGAATAAAAAAGCCTGGCTTACAAAACGTGACTTACAAAACTAGGGTGTGTGTGCGCACACGCACACACACACACACACACACACACACACACTAATTCTATTCTTGAACACATCACTGGACAATAGTCTTTAACTACTGACCTACCCCAACACTTTTATATATGCCATCTATCAGCACACAGTTATATGACAAATATACAAAACAATGTGAGGAAACAACATGACATAGTTTCAAGAAATGGTGCTGGTAAATATTTCTGATATCATACTTGATGCTAAATGTCACTCACTTCAATACACAAAGCAGCAAAACAAGCACAGCTCAATGATAGAGCATAGAACTGTCGGTTAAACATTATCAGAACCAGATTACTCTAAATGGTTATGACTCAAGACCCATATCCTCTCCACAATGTTTTCATTTATGTCTAAGAAACCTTGCAGAGAAGAGACATAAAGAGGGTCTGCATTGCAAGGATCAGCAACGGACAGCTTGGACTCACCATCCAGGGGATCCGATGACTGAATGGACCTCTTGAATGTTTCATTGAGATCTTTGCTGACACCAATATCTTGAAACATCCTTTGTAACTTTGAAGTGTATTCAAAACCACAGGCTTGCTGGAAACAAAAAAACAACAGCATAAAGCTAAGAGAATACCACATATAATCTCACAGCATAAATGTCATACCGGCCAACTGAAATTCATGCTGATAATGCAAGCTAAACTGCCACTGATACTCTATCAATGATAACACTGTTTAATGCATGTGACCCTTCAGTGACTCACATGTCTACGGTAACACTACAATGTGACAGAATCAAAAAGCTATGCGTGTTCTTTCTTCATCTTTCATATACACTTCTGTAAAAAGAAATGCTTGAGAAACATTTAGCGCTCTGTTCTCGCCACATATGTTTTACACATTAAGATCAATGAATGAAAGTTATAAACTAACACCTGTCTTAGAGGAAGCACACCATTGTCAATTGTTTAATGATGAAGGAATACTTTGAGTTTTCTGAGGTTTGACACAAACAGAAAAATGATGACTAAATAAGATAAGGACCAAACTTTTACTTCAGGCCAACCGTAAATTCAAGACATCATAGTTTGACAGAACATTGCTTGAAAGAATTTACTGAACAATTACTTTTACAGTGTTTCCATGGTCAAGCTTTACAAAATAAGTACACTACACTGAACAAAGCACTGCATTTCAAGGAATCTATTATTTGGAAATCTAGGATGACAATGTGGACATACCATTAATGTATTTTGCTCTGACATATACAAAGGTATCCCCATCATTAAACCAGCTAACCTTCAGCTTGGAGATCATGCTGGCTTCTGCATCATCGCTGGCTGACATGTGTTGCACCAATCTCTTAGCTAGCATCTTGCTGTAAAACTTCTGGAATACATCTTTGTCCTCAATGTATTTGAACACAACCATCTGAAAGCAAGTGCCAAATCCATTATTTTCATTCTTCAGATCAGTAGTTCTACAACATCCTCACTTTGACACATATAATAGAACATGTTGGCACATAACAAATCAATGGAGAATATATTCTGACACTGAAATGTTCTACATCATGTTTTCTCCACGAGTCATCCTCCAATCACCATAATTCCCAATAATTCAGCAAACAAGCCATCATATTTATCAACCTGTCAAAAGATGTTACAAGAGTACTGTGAGATTTTTTACATCATTCATCAGTTTCTTCCAGTGAATGTTGCTTTTATGTTCAGATCTACAACAAACTCACTATCACTACTGTTTTGATAGACAGACATTGTCTTCTGACTAACCATACAGCAAGAAGAGTGAGTGAGTTTAGTTTCACACTGCTTTTAGCAACATTCCAGCAATATCACGGTGGGGGACACCACATATTGTTCCCATGTGGGGAATCCTCTTCGGCGTGCAAGTGAACGCTTTCAACACTAGGCCCCACAGCAATATCACGGTGGGGACACCACATATTGTTCCCATGTGGGGAATCGTCTTCGGCGTGCGGCCTGACGAGTGAACGCTTTCACCACTAGGCTGCCCCACCACCCCTACAGCAAGAAGAAATGAAAATAATCTACATGGTGAGCAGATCTTACTGAGACTCAGTCTAGGTAGGGATAATGATGCAGAATGAAGATATCTCACCACTTGGTTCAGTGTATCTTCTAGTTCAGCTTCTTCAGGGTTCTTTGAGCTGTAAAATGAAAATTCATGAATATGCTGAATAGCATGCAATAATTTTTATTTCCTACTGAATTTACAAATAATTCACTACCAATGCACAAACACATGGACACACGCACACACACACGTCAACAAATAGACAGGATTTAGATCATCAGACTTTTTAATTAAATAAAAATAAAAATAAAAATAGTAGAAACTGAAGACTGAAATGTGACAGTGAAGTACACTACACTCCATTAGATGGAATGTGGCTGCCAAACGGCTGATCGCTTCGAATTTTTTAGAGTTGGCGTATACAATTATGAGTATAAACAGAGTAATAAAATCTCCCTCGTATGAAATAGCGAAAAGTGACAACAAAATAATGATCGTGTGTTAAACAACTTTTTCATTGGGGTGTCCAAAATTATGAGACAAATAATCAGAGTTGGTCTGTCGATTTCATGTGACTGTGACTTCTGGTTGATAAACAACTTTTTCATTTGGGTGTCCAAAATTATGAGACAAATCATCAGAGTTGGTCTGTCGATTTCATGTGACTGTGCAAAATTTGGTTTTGTTGCAATTATTAGATTTTGTGTTAGTGAGCAATTCACTGGTCCAAAATGAAGTCAAATGGACTATAAAAGTATTTCTTTCTACTGACAATGAATACTCCCTTACGAGTGACCAATAAGTAGAATGTACAAGCTCGACTTATGTGCTTTGTGTTACTACACATTGAAACACACTGACATAAGTGGAACACATAATAGTTCTATAGACTGACTACCTTAAAAGCATCAATCACAGGTCTGTGAATTATTCAAACAACCAAAAATGTGAAAAGAGAAAAAATATATATAAATCAAAGCATTAACATACTTTGTAACCATCCATTGAAAGGTCAAATGTAATCCAGGAGAACCAACACTATGTCTAATGACAAAGGCTAGCTTACAAACTGTGATAGCAGGACAAGTAAGGACTTGAGGGGAGATAACTCTTGTCAGTGATCTGGCCCCGATTTCTCGAAACAAACTTAAGTTTTTACTAAAATTTCAAACTGAGTTTAACAATTTGAAACAGCTAATTTTTAATTCGACTGCATTTATTAAATATTAAAGCCCAAACAACTAAAGTAATCTAGCCACCAAACTCAAATTGTCTACTAAGTTTGAGTTTAATATCGATTTCAGTTCATTCTGGGAAATGCATTTTCCTGCGTTATCCCAAATTTGAGTAAAAACTCTAACTTAAGTCGAAACAAAAACTTCTGTTTGTTTCAAGAAATCGAGGCCTGGTTGAGAGTGGCCTTTGGAGAGACACAGTTAGGTCCTGTGTTAATGGATTAAAGTTGGGACATTTCCACTGTTGTTTCATACCTTTTCTTTAATAGCAGATCACAGTATCGAGCCAGTAATTCAGGAGACTTGCTTGAGGAACTTGCCATTTTGGTCACAGAGTTGTTGTTGATAAACCGCCCACATGCCTATAGGGTAAAACAGGCACAATAATCCTCAACATCTACTTCAGATTTCTGCTTTACATACATATTCCCAAAGGAACACAGTTCATACATATACAGTCCTACCGAGATCAACACTAGCAGTGAAACAAATTTAATGATCTCAGTCTACATTAACATAATTGTCAATGCCCATTCATTTACCATCTTGAACAATACCAGAATCAGTAGAAATATCTATCTTATAATGCTTTCACTGACTACATATGGCATACTATTTCTCTAAGTATCTGGTCAACACCTACCTTATCTAATGCTGCCACAAAGCCTGCATCATTGTGGAAAGCTGTCATGACCAGAGCATGGTATTTCTTGTGGACATCAAGTATTGTCTGTACATATGTTTTGGGATCCTGCAAAATACATACATTTGATGGTTGTAAGGGTTGAAGGGTTGTTAGCTGCTTTATCAGCAGACCACGACAGGTCTTGAGAAATTGATTAACAAACATACATACATCTGATATGGAACAAGTTTTTATGGATAACAACTTCTTTATTTCGTGAGTGCGACGTTTCGATACAGATTCTTGTACCGTTGTCAAGCAAGAGTGACTCTTGCCACTTGACTCTTGCCACTCAAACAAGATACATACATCTGTTTAGCTTAACAATGAGACAAACGGCAACAACAGGAATGTGTGAAAGTACAGTCAGCTCTCGTTAATCCGCCACTCATTAATCCGACAATCACGTTAATCTGACCAAAAATTACAGAACCATTTAAAACAGTGATAATTACTCTCGTTAATCCGACATTCTCGCATTCAGACTCCGACACACCAATCTAGCAACTGATTATTGTAAATACATTCGTTAATCCGACAATCAACACAGCCGGTCGGATGATCCGACCGTATACAAACAATCACATGTGAGTGGTAATTAGCATGTGCCTTACTGGCTGCTTGACACCGACGTCGGTGAACATCACACTTGTTAATTAAGAACACAGGATAATTAATTGAGACGATTTAATCAAGAAATAACAGTAGTGCGAGCTGTATAAAATGTTTACAACCGACATTTCATCACAAGATGTCTGTCACGAGTACACCACCTGCTAAGCGACCCCTTGTAGAAGTTATGCCATTGATCAAGAAAGAAATCTCCTTTTGAAGAAAGACAAACCCCAGACAACACAACAAGTCATCACTTTTGCTGAGCAGAAGTTTGATGTGAAGATTGGATGATAAACTGTATCTGACATCCTGAAGCAGTCTGCTTAGTGGTTGAGCGTCTCTACGACTGATTCCAATGCTTCAAGCTATCTGAGGCCAAAACATCGTTGAACACTTAGACATTTCTGACACACCACTCAGACGTGTTTGATGTTAATGACCATCAAAGACTTTTTCAAGTTATAAATTATAAATGTTATGATAAATGCCTGATTGTTCACTAGACATCCACATGTTAGTTTGGAATATGTAATTTTCTGACTAAAATTAATATTTTATACTTATCCTGACTCATGCTAAATGCTTGTCTCCTTCTCTCTTGCGAATGATAGTGGAACACTATCATTCCCTTAAAGTTCCCTTCTAAAAAGCAGACGTAAATTCAACACTCACCCACGAGTTACCTCCCTTGCCTCCTTGGCACCCTTTTTGGTCACCTGACCGGGCCATGTTTTGTCACTCTCTCTGTATGTATGCCCGACACCTGGATTTACAGGGAAATCCAGAGTGCCATAAGAGGGGAGGTTGGGAGGGCTGACGTCATGAGTCAGGATAAGTATAAAATATCAATTTTAGTCAGAAAAATACATATTTTTCCTTATCCTGACTCATCCTAAATGCTTGCAGAATCCGTCGGAATCGGTGGTGGGTCAAGGCCACTTCTGGATTCTCTGGCTGTTGATGTACGTCCTGTATTACCCCCCATTTGTTCTCCAGAGCGTTGGTTTTCACAAGTCACGTGATTAAAGGGTGAGATTTTTCTCAGTGCCTTTGTGGAACCGTTAGTTGTTGTGCTACAACAAGTGGCCCAAACTGGTGAATGCCTGAGACGTCTTCGGCGGCAATGTCTCTGAGGTAGTGGTTGGCAAACACCGTGTCCGAGTTCCAAAAGCAGCCCTCGATTATTGTTGTAATCGAGCAGTTTCCATGCAGAGCAAGTGTTGACGCCAGGGCTCTGACTTCGTGGGGATTTGAGGCTCAAGTCTTGCTGCTTTGTAGGCCCTTAGTATAACGGCTCTCATCCATATCCATATTCGTTGTCCGTGACACTTCCTCGGGCATCTCAGTGGATAAGGGGATGAATAGGTGCTTGAATTTTCGTCTCCTTGTTTTTGTCCTTTGTAGGTAGACTTTTAGTGCTCTGACAGGGCATAAGGATAGATCCTGTGTATCCTGTGGCCCAAGGACTGTAGAGAGTGCTGGGATGTGGAACTGTCTGTCAGGCTGGCCGGGCAGTAGTTGGTTCTTGGCAATAAAATCCCATCTCAGTCCTAAATGTACGATGTCACGATGTCTTGATTCAAAGTCCGAGCATGTATTTCTGACATCCATGCTGCTGTTGCTAGGGCAATCAGAAACAGCGTTTTCTGAGTCAGTAGTTCAAAGGATGTCCATTCTAGAGGCTCGTAGGCATCACTGGTGAGATGTTGTAGAACTATGTTGAGATCCCAAGCAGGAGCCTTGAATTGTTTTTGTTGGTCTTCCAACTTGAACGAGCGTAGTAGTGCCAGTATCTCTGGTACTTTGGTCAGCTTGACACCCGTCTTCATGGTGATAACTGTGCTGAGAGCAGCCAGGTACGTTGAGAGCGTTGAACCTTTTAAGTGTCTCGTCTGTCGCAGATGACACAGGTATTCTGCCACTTGAGGATGGGTTGCTTTTACCGCTGTAAAGCCTTTCCTCGTTGCATACTGTTCAAATCTCTGCCACTAGCGTCGTACAAGTTGAGAGTTGATTTGCGTAGAGCTAGTGTTACTGCTTTCGCTGCTCTGGCGGAGTACCCTCTAGTCATCAGGCAAGCTTTGATATGCTCCACGCGTGTAGCTGGAACAATGCCGGATTCCCGTGAGCTTGCTTGGTGTGTGGATGGACGAGCAGGTTCGACCACTCTGGTAGTTGCAGGGTTGGACTTCCGAGTTCTTGTATGAGGACAGGAAACCATACCCTCGCTGGCCAATAGGGCGCGACCAAAATCAGTTGCAGCGTTGTCGTCTGCTTGATTTTCTGTATTACTTGTGGTAGTAGTGCTGGAGGTGGAAACGCATAAGCGTTTAGTCCTTCCCAAGAGATGCTTACTGAGGATCAGGAATCGGAGAGACGAATGTTGGTAGTTGCTTGTTGAACTTCGTTGCAGACAGGTCTATCAGTGGAGATCCTGTTGTCCATATGACGAACCGGAATGCTTCTGATTGTAACATCCACTCCGTCGGGGATGGTTGAAGTGGACGAGATAGGGCGTCTGCTATGACATTCTTTGCTCCTGGAATGTGGCATGCCTTCATGGAGATGTTCAGGTCGTCGACAATGCTGAACAGGAGAAAGCTGAGTTGTAGCAGACTTGTTGATCTTGTTGATCCTTGTTTGTCGATGTAGAACGCTACTGTGGAGTTGTCCGTGTGGACCATGAGCCTTGCGTTCTTTAGTACGCTGGACCAGTGTTGTAAAGTGTTGATCACTGCTTTCATCTCCAACAGGTTGATGTGCAGACTGATCCTGACTCGACCACTTCCCTGCTGCCACTTCGTTGTCGAGGTGGGCACCCCATCCTTGTAGCGATGCATCTACGTAGAGATGAGCATTGCAAACCGGCTCTGACAAAAAGGTTCCTCCACAAACATTCGACTTCGAGTCCACCATAAGAGGTATGGTTTCAGGCTGTCCGGTAGTATCAGCGGATCCAGACTGTCGAGATGGGCGTTCACAAATATTTGTAGTGGGCGCAGTTGTAATCTCCCTCTGCGAGTCATGTCTTGAGCTGAGGTGAGTAGACAGAGCATGCTTTGCCAAGCATGTAGTGTCAATGGAGAGAGCACTTCTTGAGATATCATATGTTGTATCTTGACCCAACGATCCTCGGGACGACTATGCAATTCACCGGTGTGATGAGTCGTATTCCTAGAAATTGAAGATCCTGTTTCGGCTCCAGTTACGACTTGAGGAGATTTACCAGCCATCCTAACTGAGTGAGAAGCCTGATGGTGAAGTCTAGTTGCAGTCTGAGTTGACTGGGATCTTGATGAACTTGAATTCCGTCGTCCAGGTAAAAAGCACTTCGTAGACCTCGACGATGTAGATATGTGACGATGGGTTTGGTAACTCGAATAAACAACCATGTGCGGCTGCTTGTACTAGCCCAGACTGAAGCTGGTTTTATAGTGCTAGCCCACTGAGATACCATGTCGCAGTGAAGCATGAATACCTCACTCAGACACATTATACTGACTCCGAGCCGACCAGTCCTTGTTGTACCCATTAATGCCGAGCGGGGCAGGGACCAACAAGTACCATATTTTAACGTCTTTTGGTATGATGCGGTCGGGGATCGAACCCGCGACCTTCCGCTCTCTGGGCGGACGCTCTAACCACTACACCACGGAGGCGGTCTAGTCGTCCTGTAGTATTCTCTAATTCTCCCAGTACCGTTGAAGCCGTCCACCCACTGCCAAAGGTTGTACAGGAACGGCTGGGGATGGAAGACTCCAGTCGTTCCAAACCTGTCCTTCAACTCTTGGTTCCCCTGGCACCCCTGGGTGCTCGGCCTTTTCCGGGGTTACTTCTGGGGGCTCCGGTTGGCGACGAAAAGAACCTTTCCCTCCTCTTGAGTTGGAATACTTCTTTTCTCTGGCTCTCTGGACTCCTGCAAACTTGGATTTGTTGGAGTAGCGCTGAGGCGTCTGGCGAATCACATTTGCCAAGGTATCTATGGACTTTATCATCATGACCTCCCTTGATTCGTGTGTAACCTCTTTGGCGACTTCAATCCCTCCTCCGAAGATGGATGATGCTGACCATGGGGCTCTGTATAAGGACTTGGTGTTCTGTCAATGTCTGCGCTGATAAAGTTGCCGATGTAGCTGTAGTAGCAGGCTTCGTCTTCTTGCTGACGTCTGTTACTTCAGGTATGAGGATGGGGGGGGGATCATCATACACGTCTGCTTCTTCCGGAGGTACAATCTCGGCAGAAAAGGATCTCGTCTTCTGCATAGAGCTGAGTAGAGACTTCGACGAAGTCTTGGGGGTAGTAGCCTTCTTCTTCTGCGTTGAAGATCTAGTCTTCTTAGTCTGCAAAGAGGTCAGCTCCGTTGACAATGATCTCTTATTAGCTCCAGGGTTCATCACTGGCACAGCGACCTGCCCCTGTAAAACGCTTGGCAATTCACTGGAATTATGAACATCGGCAGCAGTAGTTACGGTCATCAGCGCAATCACTTGATTTAGACATGACTTGTGAATACCTTCTTACCCAGTCCTTTGCACGTCTATGAATGGAAAAAAGGTAGTTATTAAATTCAAAAGTGGTTAAATCCAGACAATGTTTACACCGAGAGCTGAAAGACCATGAAGTAGTGCAATCAGGACATAATAAATGTGGGTCAGCCGCAGACAGTCGGTACCTACAACGAACACAAGTTTTCATCAAATGTAAACACGATGAAAAAACATGTCAAACAACGGTATAATTTAAATCAAATTTCAAACCATATAGTAGAATACAATCCTAAAGCCGTATACAGAAATAATTTTGATGTAAGGTCCAACGTAGAAAAAGGATATGTGCCGTATAGGGACCCAGGTGCTCTCACAACCGTCCTCAAGGGCGAAGAAGGAGAGAGTGACAAAACATGGCCAGTCAGGTGACCAAAAGGGCACCAAGGAGGCAAGGGAGGTAACTCATGAGTGAGTGGTGATTTTACGTCCGCTTTTTGGAAGGGAACTTCAAGGGATTTCAAGTGTTCCACTATCATTCGCAAGGAGAAGGAGACAAGCATTCAGCATGAGTCAGGATAAGGAAAAATTCGTTGTAGTGGGTCACAATTATTTGAGACCAGAGTGTGTGAGTGAGCGAGTTTAGTTTTATGCCTCCTTTAGCAATATTCCAGCAATGTCACGGCTGGGGACACCAGAAATTGGCTTCACACATTGTACCCATGTGGGGAATCGAACCTGAGCATTCAACATAACGGGTGAACACTATAACCACTAGGCTACCCCAATGCCTTTCAGAAAGTGAACGAACGTAACAAATCTTTTGTGCAACAACAACAGAAAACATGATACAAAGAATATTATGTAAATATATTCTGGGGGGCTGGCTTGGCTTTGAGAGGGAAGATAACCTGTTAATGTGTAGTGCAAATGTCCTTTGGTCGTGAAAGCTGGACATTATAATGGAAGCTGCCTTGGGGCATAGTGGTTAATACAAAAATAAGAAACAGGGTGAAAAGGACAAAATGTGAGCAATACAACCCGTTACTGCACAAACTAGAAAAAGAATTCTTGTAAGATTACACTTTCTCACTTAAGTACAAATTCTAGTACAGTTTGGGAGGGAGGGGGGAGAAAGAGTCCCATCAAGGATTCGAACCCACACCCTCAGAGTGAGGCAGTTAAAGCAAAAGAAGTCCACGATCTAACCCTATCAGCCACCACATATGGAAGTTTGAGGTTGTTCAGATCACATACTTTGTGTACTCGATCACTGAGGTATGAGCTGGCTGCACATGAATATCCTGCTCTTCACATCTGACCATATAAAGACTCACATTTAATGCCGACTCTCCACATCTCTCTATGGCAGCCTGTCCTTGGTTGTAGATATGTGTCTCAAGGAGGGACTTCAGCTCACCCAATCCATCTTGTATACGTGATACCAATGTGTACATTCGACCTAAATCTGAAAAAGTAACAGCACATCCACGTTAAGTTTACATTGATCAAACACTATCTATATTCAAACCAACACTCTAAAACTACCTGAAAGTAAAATGATTGAAGGGAAGTGACCTACATATATTCCTAAACAAACACAATTAGATCAATATACATATATATGAAAGACATCAGAACACCATGGCTAGGTTTTTGTTGCTTATGGATACAACAACATGTATTGATACCAACAGAATGGTTCCTGATGTGACCAAGCTAGTTCATCTATTGATAGAGCACTGCTCAGTTCTAGGATAAGACAGCATATAAGCTGCCTCCAACTTCATTCTACAGGTTCTTTAGGTTTGTCCAATCCCTCCAACCTGAAGTTAATGGCTGCATGGGTGCATAGAGTAAATCAGCCTACACTTACCATCATTCTTATCAGTATCCAACAGATTCTGGAACTCATAATGGAATATTTCCAGATGTTTCTCAATGAGGACCTTCTCACACACCCTTGCTAACACGTCCTGTGTACTCTCATGAAGATACAGCTGCACTCGCTTCTGTTCCTCCAACAACCGAGTCTCAGCCTGCCAACACAACAGAAACTTTCATAGCTGTCTCAAACATTTACACCATAATGGTCTACTTGGAACCTCACTTTTCATACTGTCTTTCCCCTCCAGAACATGATCTCTTGCAGGAACAACAAATAAAGAGAACTTAATAGGTCATGATAATCAGAGAAACAATGTTAATCCAAATCTCAAATCCTATTGGAATAGGGAGTTTAACTGCTGCTTTAAAGTTAGTTATATTGAGTCATGTCAACTTGATGGATGGGAAAAGAAGCAATGTAGGCCTTAGATGGTTACCACATCAGTCAAACCCTCCAGCATGGTATGGAGCTGACACACTTTGAAACATAACCCCTAATGCTAACCCTAGTGAATTGAGGTTCCTAAGATTGTGGGCTAAATTGAGCCTCGACTGTTGGGATAGACAACAGAGTTACTAGATTAAAACAAACAAGCATTGTCACTAAGGTGACATAATCCCCCGCCACAAATTACCAAATCAAACTTATAAAGTAATGAAAGTTTAAGATGAAGGTAAATGTCAACAAAAACATTATCTTGCTCTTTAGTTGTTCAAACACACACATATTTTCAAGACTGACTTTGACCTTGACATGAGTGTCATAGAGTATGATATATGCAAAACTAGTACTAAAGAAATTGCTTATTGAAAAACATTCAAGGGAGGTCTTGAAAGTCTATGACAGGGGTGGAAATAACCCATTGCCCGACGTCCGAGTCCAGTGTTTTTTTCTTGGGCAAGCAAATTCGTATATCACACTGTATCGGCGTCCAGTTGACTTTCCAATGTAAATTATGTTGTTTATTTAAAAACTTCAACAAGAAAACGGTATAGTGGAAACATTTTCAAGGCAAGTGATTTCACATGTGCCACTGTACCGAGTACACTAGCAATTTAAAAGTTATTTCCACCCCTGTATGAAGAAAATCCAGTGAACCGTTCTTAAAATATCTTGCTGACAATTCAGGTTAACATTCTGAAATCTTCATAGTGTCGTCATGACCCTAAAAATTATGTGAAGGTCACCAAAATTGACTGGGCCCTGGGCCTTCCCTAGATGAAGCTTGGTGTCAAATATGAAGAAAATCCACTGAATATTTTTTGACAAGCAATTTAACATGTTGAAATCTTCAAAGTATCTCTGTGACCTTGAAACTTAAGTGAAGGTCACCAAAATCAACTGGGCCCTGCGCCTTCCCTGGATGAAGCTTGGTGTCAAATATGAAGAAACTCCAGTGAATGGTACTTGAGGTATCTCGCTGACAAGCATAACATGTAGTTTAATATGCTGAAATCTTCAAAGTGTCTCTGTGACCTTGAAAATTAAGTGAAGGTCACCAAAATCGACTGGGCCCTGCCCCTTCCCGAGATCAAGCTTGGTATCGAGTATGAAGAAAATCCAGTCACCGGTTCTTGAGATAGCTTAACATGCAGGTAAAACATGAAAGTCCCCTTGCGACCTTGAGATGAAGGTCAAGGTCACCAAACCTGACTTCGACCTTTCTTATAGTGTGATGAACCCAGGTACCAAATATGAAAAGAATCTAGTGAACGGTTCTTAAGATATTCCAATTCGTACGGACAGACGGACGACGACGATGGACGGACGGAGCCTAATACTATATCCCCCGCTTCGCGCTAAACGCACGGCGGGGGATAAATAATTATTAGTCGTGATATTTGGTCATTCAGACATTTACTGGAAACAGTCGTGGTGATTAACCACAGTATAAACACAGCAACTTCGCAATGGACAACAACATGTACAGTTCTATCATTTCCTGTGGATTCCTAACGAATGTCATACCTTTTTCATGTATTCTGTGACTGGGTTTTGTCGAAGGAACTCCGTACTCTCCCTTGTGTAGAATCTCTCTGTATCTTCCAGGAATGGGTTCTCAAAGTTCTCTTTGTACACAGTTAATGTAGGTCCTTTAGCACTTGGTTCATCTTCATTGAGGCCAAGCTCAACTGAAAGTAAATTCAATACTCTCTTACAACGGTAACAGTACCTGATACCATTGCATCATGCAGGCGATATCACGTCACTAATGCAGGGAGTGGGTCCTGGGGTGCTCATGGCTGTCTTGAATAGTATTTTGAATCAAGGGATCTTACCATTAGGGATTTGACAATGATTACTTAAATTTCTACATTTCATGACTCTGCTTCCAACAATGTCACAGAAAAAATGAATCATGATTAGGGACTTCGATCAGCAATATTTTAAATTACATATTAGCAGCCTCAAATGGACCTAAGTTGGAGTGAGTGAGTTTAGTTTTACGCCTCACTCAGCAATATTCCAGGTATATGGCGGCAGTCTGTAAATAATCGAGTCTGGACCAGACATTCCAGTGATCAACAGCATGAGCATCGATCTGCGCAACTGGGAACTGATGATATGTGCAAACCAAGCCAGAAAGCCTGACCACCCGATCCCGTTAGTCGCCTCGTACGACAAGCATGGGTTACTGAAGATTCATTCTAACCCAGACCTTCACGAGTCACCTAAGTTGGAATTAAAGGAAACTGGAACAAGTGCAGCGACTAGTCTTATGCAGCAGTTAGCAATATTACAGGTATACGATGGCACCTTGCATTGTAACCAAGCTTAAATTTCAACATGAGGGTCTGGTATCATAAAGAAATGGCTTACAGCTTGTTCAGCTTGACCTGAGCTACTCTACATATGCATGACCCGGGAGGTCAAATAGCACAAACGGCAGATCAGGGTTATCTTCATTAAGTAGGGGTGCAGAGGATGTTATTAATGTTGCGTTCGTGCGAAGCATGCATACATAGATTTGTTACAGAATTTGTCCCGGAAAACAACACTTCTGAAAACCCCCAATCATGTCATGTTTTAATTGAATTGTTTATACAGTCATATGCTATCTAGTTTGGTTTGCTAACTTTACAACTTACAGACGTCAGTTACTTTCACAATCCGATTCACTCTCGCTGTCACTCTCTACACCCAGTTCAATTATCACTTTTTCTAATTCATGTTCAACTGCAATATTTCTGTCCCAGTAGTCGCTTTCCAAATTTTCCACATGGGCACAACAATCAGTCCATTCGTTTCACCAATCATCTGACAAAGGTGCACCCCCTTCACAATAACAGACTCAACCAGTTGTGACACGGTCACGCAATTCATTAGTATTCACTTGATCAGGTCAAGCTGAACATGCTGTAGTGTACTGTATAGTAAGATTCAAAAATTATTTCTTGTCAAGGCTTTGGTACAATGAATATTATCCTGAGTCTTTCTTGATGCAGTATTATTATTTCTTCAGTGTCTATTCTATACATATGTCTTGATATACATTTCTGTATCCATTACAACCACAATGTACAATGGCATATCATCACAGACAAGCATGACTTACTGGGGACATTTTGCATTCTGAAATGACCCCAAACCAAGAACTCTACAAGTGAATATCTCACCATAGCAGTTAATGACACCACTGACAAGTCTGGTATTGATTGTTTCTCCGTTCCTCTCTTTCTCAATCAGTTTAAGGACAGCATTGGTCACTTGTTTGTTCAGAGGCTTGAAGAGATTGTCTCTCCATGTGATCAAAGCAAGCTGAAACATATTGTTGTCTCCTTCAAAACCAAGTCGCCAATAATAGCTCACCCCATTGTCTCCAATGGGTTAATTCCCCTAGAGGTAAAATGTAGTGTCTTATGGACGGTCATACTTTTTCTACCAATTAGTATTACACTTCTCCATGATGTCTATTATTTTTAAAATCCAAAAGATCCTGATTCAAATTCAAAGTAATAAACTACAGAAAAAGATATACTTTATGATTCTGGAATTGGTAACTTTTCACAAGGACTAGTAAGATTATTAAGTAGCCAATCATGTAGGTTTGGGAGAAATAAATTTGCAGTCTTCAACCATGAAAACAAATGCTTCATCAGCTTTTAGGAATAATCCTGGCATATTACAATGGTGATAGCCAACACTGTCACTTAGTTTAGACTTTAGGCTGAATACAAAGATTGTAAAATTTTCAAAAGAAAATAGATAAATATAGTTCATACATACAGAATAAATGTAATAAATGCCCTTGGTTCCCTCATCACATTCTCGCCGGACCCAATGTCGGTTGAGGTAGGCACAGATGCCATCAAGCACTTTACTGGAGAACTGGTAATCTTCCCACTGTCGGGTATAAAACTGCAGAACCTGCTCATCTAGGAGGTCTTGACCATCCTGGAAGTGAAAGGCATCTCTTTATTTTCATCTGTTCTCATACAACCAACATACACATATATCAAAAGAATCTGTGAAAAATCCTTAGCAAACATATATGACTAAGATGCGAAGCGCAGGTTTCACTGACCGAAACTCAGCTTGCTTACAGTGATACATCAACTAGTAAACATTCATTATAATTCTCACTGCTAATTCCTCAAAGCTTATACCTAATTTGACCTTGTATATACAATCTGAAAACATTACTTTAAGATATAAAGTAGAACAGTAACTGTCAATATTTCATATGATCTGAGAATAATCGAGCCCAGTCAAGACATCCCAGTGATACCATGACTAAACAACTGGGAAACAATGACATGCAACAACCAAATTATAATTCATTATTAGGGCTGCAATGAATCAACTATGAGGCAAATATGTGATGGGGTGTCATCCATTTTTAAAAAATTATGCTTAAAAATTATGGGAGGAGGTCCATTGATACTGTACATGACATGCAGGGGGGTCACTTATTTTGTACATACATTTGAGTGAGTGAGTGTGTGTGTGTGTGTGTGTGTGTGTGTGTGTGTGTGTGTGTGTGTGTGTGTGTGTGTGTGTGACTCACATGGTACATGCTTCTCCATAAACATCATCATCACATACCTAACCATAAATTATGAACGGTCCCTAAATATATCACAGAAACTGAAAAGTTTGTAAATTATTGCAAACTTGAAGTGATAAAACGTGCAATTGAGCAGAGAAACTTCTGAAACATTGATAACAATGAATTATTTGCAACCTGTGTTAAACATTTTTAACTAGCCCGAATGTTTAGTTAAACCAAAAACTAAAATGACAAATATATTTTTATGAAAAACAATGGCAACAAGAAGACAAAGTTATCAATATCCCCCTCAATGGCAAAATACTCTTCATGATTATGTCTACGAGTTGTGACTATGCCAAATATTTAGGTGTGTATATAGAAAAGTGGAAGGAGAGCATTGAAAGGAGCACTATCACCAATTTCAGTCTCAGTCAAACTTGTTGCCATGGAAACGCCAAAAATATTTTATTCAGAATTCCAAAACTACCAAAAGGCAACAGTACACCACCAGACCAATCTATGTGCCAAGTTTGGTGAAGAAATAGTGAACAGTTTTAGAGTTCACCTCCGGAAAGAGCACAACCACCAATGTCAGTCTAAGTCAAACTTGTTGCCATGGAAATGCCAAAAATATTTTATTCAGAATTCCAAAACTACCAAAAGGCAACAGTACACCGCCATACCAATCTATGTGCCAAGTTTGGTGACGAAATAGAGAACGGTTTTAGAGTTCACCTCCGGAAAAGAGCACAACCACCAATTTCAATCGAAGTCGAACTTGTTGCCATAGAAACGCCAAAAATATTTTATTCAGAATTCCAAAACTACCAAAAGGCACCAATACACCACCAGATCTATGTATGTGCCAAGTTTGGTGAAGAAATATCGAATGGTTTTAGAGTTCTGCTCTGGAAAAGAGCACTACCACCAATGTCAGTCTAAGTCGAACTTGTTGCCATTGAAACGCCAAAAATATTTTATTCACAATTCCAAAACTGCCAAAAGGCACCAGTACACCACCAGATCAATGTATGTGCCAAGTTTGGTGAAGAAATATTGAATGCTTTTAGAGTTCTGCTCCGGAAAAGACAAATGTGCACGGACGGACGGAGTCCATTTTAATACCCCCCGCAAAACGCGTTGCGGGGGATAAAAAAAGCTTGAATCATTTAGTTAATTACCTTCAACAAGTTGACCAGATAGTTCTTGAGGAACTCCTTGATTCTCTTGTACAGTTCATGTCCCACAAACTGTGCCCCACTGGTGGGTTGTTTTATCTTGCGGCCCCCAGGTCCCCGTGACTGTGTCTGTGAACCTGACCCCTGGCCATGGACACTGGTGCAGTAGTTGTAAACATGTCTTCAAACAGCTAAGGAAATTCACAAAAAGTCCATGCTTCTAGCATCACTTTTCAAACTTAAGCTACTTGGTGATCTCACCAAAACTTATGATAATACTTCTACAAAAGTAGAATGCAGAACCAGATTGACAGATAGACAGACAGTGTTATTATTGAGTTATTGCTAATGTATTTAACAAAGAATGTTGTTTTCTGCTAAAAACTACAATTAAACTTATGATTTATAGCCACACAATGACTAAATCAGCTGTATGAAATCATGCAGTTTTGAGGATATTTACTTCCAAGAATTTTGGCAACTGGAACTGATACTCAAAAAAAATACAATGAAAAATCAAACCACATGGGAACCTGTATATTTACTACACTTCCACCCTGCAACAGCCACCATACATCAGATACACAATTGCCATGATCACATTAGCTATGATCACATTAGCTATGACTGACTGACTGAGTTTAGTTTTACGCCACTTTTAGCAATATTCCAGCAACATCACGGCGGGGGACACCAGAAATGGGCTTAACACATTGTGCCCATGTGGGGAATCGAACCCGGGCCTTCGGCGTGACGAGTCAACGCTTTAACCATTAGGCTTCCCCACTGCCCCAGATTGTTTAAGAAATTTACCTGATATCATATATGAAACTTACACTGTAACTTATATCAACTGACCAACATTCTACACAGAAAAAATGGCAGAAACATATAAGCAATTTTTCACTCATAGAGTTATCACCCCTGTATGCATGACAACAAAATGGTGCTGACTGACCTTGCTGACACATATTTACTTTTATTACTCGCCCGTGGAAGATACTGCAGTGTAATATTTTTACGGCAATATACACTTGTGTAATACCGCTAGACATATGACATCATAATGGTTACAGTTATGACGTTACAATGTCGCAATGGTATTAGACCTTGCTTGACTCGCGAAAATTGACATGAGAGTCATCACACTGTAGGCAGTTTCTATCAATTTATGTTGGAAAGTAATAAACAGAATACTAAACTCGCTTCCGTGAAATACCAGTTTTATTAAACTCGTGAAAGATTTAGCATCAAACTCGCTTTCGCTCATTTGATACCAAATCATTAACTCGTTACATGGAAGGTCGTTTAGATCCTCTATTAATATGTATAAAATAAGACCTGCATGATCAATCAGCATCAATCACGATCAAACACTTGCAATACATATCGCAATACAGATACCTGGATTGCTACATACTGCAATATGTATTATTCTTTATACTGCTACACCGAGTCTAACAAACTCTTGTAGAAGGTCGTGTCAACTAACCTTTTGAATTGACCAATCAGAACACAGCTTACCAAATCACGAAAGTTAACATTCCGTTTGAACTTGAAAGCGTTTGAACTCAAACCATTCCAAATGCTATTTTCCGTACGATCGCTTCCGAGTGATACACACGGAGGACGCCATTATTCACGACAGTCAGTAAACAGTCGCTGAAAATATTTTTGTCAATATCCCAGGATGTCATTATGCGGAAATATAAGCCAGTCATAACCATGCCATCAAAAACCCATAAACGTATATACTGCAGGTCAAGTATCTGTGTTTTATGAGGATTTTCGTTGTTGGGAAATCAGTGTCAGCGACCAGGGAAGATAAAATCCATTTTGTAAGTCCTCAAAATCTAGTGAAGTGGTAGGCAGTGAGGGTGTTACATGTTCAGCCAGACATGTAAAATGTTGATAGTATTAGTTTAAAGTTCAAAGTTTTGACTTGACAGTTGACTTGTGTTATCAATTAACACATTTAGTTAAGCATGTGAAAAATAAAGGTTTTTGATTTTGGAATTATTTTTATGCTTTTGCTTATCGAAATTTCATTTAGCTTGTAGCTTAAAAAGTCACTAGCAGTCTTTTGGCTTGTCTTTTAAAAAGTTCAGTTCTAAACCTGATAAGTATTTAACATAAACAAAATGATTCTTTCCATTTGCATTACTTGCCACCAACATTCAGGTACCCAGTGACCTCATCTTATCTCTGACCTCTACTATTACAAAAACCCAAAAGTAGCTGATCTACACAACCTGCACATGCAGGTAGGGTTTTGTAGATCGTAGTTCTAATCTTAAAACTGAAAGTGTGTCTACTCCAAATCCAAGTGTGAGACATTTCATTTCAGAGACATCTGTAAAGACAATACAAAAACAATTTAAGAAATGCTTTTGAAACATACAATTTCAAAGGTTTGGGGCAGTCGGTGAAATTGACTTCACTTCTTGATTTTATCAGTGGTTACTTGAAGAATTAATTTGTAAACACTAGGAAAAGGATGAGAATTTGAAATTTTGTAAGCAAAAACAGAATGCAAGGTCAAGGTGTTCCCTTAACCTACAGGGCCTATATTTTTGAAGCTCTCTTAGCGCTAAGATAGTCATGAGTGCCATACATTAGCATTAACTTATGACTATCTTAGCGCTAAGAGAGCTTCTAAACTCTAGGCCCAGAACCATACGTGTGGTGGACCCCTCTAATTTCCTTACTGGATATCTGAGGGTCCTATGTAGTATGCAATGCTGTGGAGTACTGTAAGATTATAGAATTACTTCCATTACAGGACCTTTTATTTGTCAAGAATTTCGTACTATGTATATTTTTGTCGGTTGCTCAGGATGCAATATAATTTCTTCTTGCTTCCATTTAATACACGTATACATACTGGATGCACATTTCTGCATAAAATCAATACAATAATCGTAAACAGAAATATAAATTCCAAAAATTCGAATTTTGCCAATGCAAGAAAAAAAAAAGAGAGGCATTATTCTGTCACTTGAAGGTTTAAGACACAGTATGAGCGAAGAACATAACCTGTCTCTGTGAATATGGGACTTCTTTTTTTTTTCCAAATAAATCTTAGTTTCCCAGAAGATACAGTACATGTCAAGAAATGACATGTGAATATTTTGGGGTGAAACAGTGCATAGCATTCAGTTTTATGATGTTTATTTCACATTGGGACCATAAACATTATAATTATATTCAAGTTGTCAAAAACAAATGTTCATGGAATCAGAACTATAACCGATAACAATTTTCTGTGTTTAAACTGAGGCTCACTGTAGAACAATAGTAGCATGTGTGATTCAGTGGACAGCAGTGGTATGCTTCAGAGTCAAGAATTACTTTGAAGTTTCTAGAGCATCCAGGCTATTCCAAATTGGTGAAGAAATGTCCGAGAGAAATTTATACTCATATTAGGGGCACACACTTGCCTCTGTCTGATCTCACATTATATCAAGACTAGCAGTTCCGTGAAGATCCTCACCACTGCTGCAGCTAGGAATATTATATCAAGACTAGCAGTTCCGTGAAGATCCTCACCACTGCTGCAGCTAGGAATATTATATCAAGACTAGCAGTTCCGTGAAGATCCTCACCACTGCTGCAGCTAGGAATATTATATCAAGACTAGCAGTTCCGTGAAGATCCTCACCACTGCTGCAGCTAGGAATATTATCATCACTTTTTCACATGTTAATTGCTAAACTTACTGCTTTTTACGTAATACTGGAACTGTAATACCCTTGCAGTAATTTGTATTGATTTTCAAAATTAGTTAATCTAACTGTTAATGATGTCACATCTTTTGGTTGTTGTTTGTTAGATTTACATCTCATTCTTTAGTACAGATTTCTGGTTAACTTATTGCTCCAACTGAGAAATCAACATGAAACAAAATACCATCAATTATATTTTTATGCAAACCTGTCGATATGGATGAGTGTATTACTGGTCTATATAGTATGGTGTTTATTTAACTTTTTAACAAAATACAAACTTACTCCCTTGTTTCTTCAAATCAAAATTTTAAAATTACCTATCTCACAAAAACGTTAATACCAGAGGTACAGATAAGCTGCGCAACTGCGTAAACTACGCAAAAAAATATGTGAAAACTCAATTTTAAGTCTATTGCGCACAAGTGCGCTTGAATTTTTGTAAATACTCAATATTTTAGATCTTACAAACATGCGTACACACAAAAATGTCAAATCTTTGCTTGCGTACCAGTGCATAGATAAAGTAACTGAGGTATACGGTATGTATTTCTATTTCAACACATCTACAAGGCAACTTGCTGTCTTATCGTTTCTGGAGGCGGTGTGGTAGCCTAGTGGTTAAAGCGTTCGCTCGTCACGCCAAAGGCCTAGGTTCGATTCCCCACATGGATACAATGTGTGAAGCCCATTTCTGGTGTCCCATCCCGTGATATTGCTGGAATATTGCTAAAAGCGGTGTAAAACCATACTCACTCACTCATTCACATATCGTTTTTCATATTACAGATCAAATATAAATAACATTTAAATTTTATATTTTTACAATTAATGGAAAATGACAAAATACCCAACTGAGTTTTCGAGTGAGGTGGGTACAATTTACTTGGTTACTCAAAGGAAAATTAGGATACCCAATTGAGATGAACACAAGTGAGTACACAACTCAATGACCCAAAAAGTTATCTGTAGCTCTGTAATACTCTCATATACACAGGCTGACATCCTTAAAGTACTGCAGCAAAGCACCAGAGGATAAGCTGACAGCTTAAAAAGGGCTTTGGCAAGAATCCCTTGAATTTCATTTCAATTTTGAAATAAAGCTGACAAAGGTTATTCATATGGTTACACATAATGAACATATAAAAGGATACGTATAAAGTTCCATGTATCTGTGCTTGGACATGCTCTGCCGTTTGTACACAGACTTGATCCCAGATTTGAGATCATCCCAGATTTGATCCAACTCAATCTGCTTGAGACCATGAGGATTCTGTCCCTTCCCCGCCATGGCACTGGCAAAATGTTTATGGTGTTAAGCTGAGGTTTTGCTATTTGTAGATATCACAATGATCTACAGCAGAGGGCTGTAGTTCTAGGTTGTAACTGAAGAAATTATCTTTCTGTCATCCTTTGTTTTCCATCCTCTTAGTGCATCTGAAAGTTGAAAAAATACAAAAACTTTAACAACATCAACAATTTATTCTGAATGACACATTTGAACTAATGAGGCTAATTGTAGTTAAACCATGGTTTCAGACTGGTTGGTTTTCTTAGATGCATAAAGCATGTTAGCCGTAACTTGCTATTCAACAATAAATATTCCAGCAGAATGATAGTGAACTGTGTATAATTGTGCCCAACAAAAACAATCCAGATCTTGTTTGAAGATGTTATATTCTTGAGGCTAGCTTTAAGGCCAATAAACCACAAGTCTGCAGCAAATGATAGCAAAAATGCTCAAACTGGAATCAAACGTTTCCCAATGCAGGCATCACCATCCACATAAACTCACATATTGCTATTTACTGAACACCACCAATCGATTAAATCACACATTCGGTGGGAACAAAAGCTAGTTATGCCATGACAAATGCTTATTGTGCATATCTTGTCAGAAATTCTAAGGAAGTGAGTAATGCTACCACTAATTACACCTCAGATAAGGGATTACCTGATTGCCAATTAAATGATGTCAAATACACAGGTGAAGGTTACTCCATGAATAAAATGACAATTAGGACAAAATGATTGTTGTGAAATATGATTTTTAGTTGCCTGAAAAATATTACTGTTTCCTCTACAATTAGTGAGTGAGTGAGTTTAGTTTTACGCTGCACTCAGCAATATTCCAGCTATATGGCGGTGGTCTGTAAATAATCGAGTCTGGACCAGACAATCCAGTGATCAACACCATGAGCATCGATCTGCGAAATTGGGAACTGATGACATGTGTCAACCAAGCCAGCAAGCCTGACCACCCAATCCCGTTAGTCGCCTCTTATCCTCTACAATTACATATAATTGCTGCATATGAAAGAGTAGACAAATGTACACACACATTAACCTTGAAATTGTTATTTATTCATTTTGAGTCAGAAGTTTAAAATAACAAACCTGTGGAAAAGTAGGCCATCATGTTGTGGCTCCCTACGTGTGTTACAGTGATCAAACAGCATATGTTATTTAATTGTCAGGGTTTTGCATGACGCGTGATTCCTGCGTAATTTGACGCAACAATTTTGTAAATGACTCTCAAAATATAATCATATGAGTCAAGCTTGACGCAAGTTTTATGGGTGGCCCTCACAATTTAGTTCAATAAAATCGATTTGATATGGAAAAAATGATATTGTTCGATGATAGTTTGACTTTTACAGAGCTGTCAGATTGTTCCAGAGAACTCAGAGGAGACAGTCATCTTGGCCGTTTGCATTGAACAATGCTGTAGTTTCATTTGGTGACTCCACCTGTGACATACACAGTTACATACTGAGAATGATTAACACAAAGAAATATAAAATTTTCATGACTCCCAAATATTGAAAATGAGTCCCAAAAATAACTATTGTGAGTCACCATGACTCAAATTTTAAAAGTCTGTGTAAAACCCTGATTGTTTGGGCCAAAGTCGAGCTAATCTTACTATCAAGCTATAAAATGGAATCTAAATCGATCTCAGTCCTTTTATCATCCACACAATCAGAAATCTGAAATGATCATTCAGTGGGATATTTGTTTATCAAACGATAACCTCCATTGATTTTTTTGTCATTTCTTCATGTTCAAGACAATGACTAACATACACCCAATTTAACATGAAAATATCATAAATTATTCAGAAACAAATCAGTGTTAAAAATTATGGATGAAAGCATGAATGCAATATATTGTAGTACCTATACCAAGAGTATAAATCAGTCAGGCAATATTCACCATGTCTAAATCCTCATAAGCCCTAAGAGGCAGTGGAATCATTCTAGTAGTGAGAGCCCAGTGCTCCGTTAACTGTAGCAAAAGTAGCCTTGTTGTACTGAGAATAAGGCGAAATATACAAGGCATTTTCACCAATGTTTCTGTGAACAGTTATCATGGTTATTATTGAATGAAAATAAGACTAAATTAAATCTAATCAAATGAAATACATAAGTCCAGTGTTCACGAATAGCGTCTGACCCTCTGACAAATCCGGCAGATTCACCAACGGTCTGATAGAAGTCTACAACCCACCGGCCCCAGTGTCTGGCTGTATGTTTCAGAATGACTTTGACTGAAGTTGTTATATGTGGCATGTAACTCTTGTTTCCTGTTTATAAATCTTATGTTTGTTAATAATTTCAATGCCAATTATAAGAAATGTTAAATCTGTAATGTGTGTTTAATTGTATTCTATGGGTCCTTTGAATTTTCAATGGGTCAGACAGACATCTGAACTTACAGGACCCAATGTCCTGTTACTTTGAAACACCATTAGTGAACACTGTAAGTCCCAAGTCTAGGAATATTGCTGGATTGTGTGTTTACAGATATCATAGGTTTTTGCATGGCGGCATTTACTTGCGCTGTAATGAGGCGTGTTTAATCTCATAAACATTGTAAATACATGGTTGGTAGCATGTCTTTATGATAAACTTGTCTTTTTAAAGATAGAGGGATATTCTGCTGTTCGTGTGATTAATCAAGAAAACACTGAATGTTTCTTATCCATCTGAAAACCCATAATACACGGATATGCAATGGACACTTTATACCATTAGCACAGAATTTTCCAAGTTAATCCTTTCAACAGGATTTGTTGATATGCTGTTTCAAATAAAATAAAGAATTCTATGGGAGCAATTAATTACCCCGCAGTTTAACTGAGACTGTGGCATCGCAAAGGGCGTTATTGTTAGGGATGACTGTACTTGACATATTTCCCAGTGATAACAATGAAACATTTAGATGAAAACAGGGAACACTGTGAAACTCAAGCATACACTCGCAAAAAATATAATATAGGCTTATTTTCTCTTAGTAAAGATTATGCTGCAAGTGAAGCATTAAAAAATATGACGTGTTCTCGGATCCTTGAGAATTTGTTCCTATAGCATTACAACCTACTGAACCTTATAAATTTGTAACCTTTAATATTAAGGCAAAGATTGATTATCAAACAATTAGATAAAATTAAAAACTATTCACTATTGCTCCCGCCTCCATATTCGATAAACGTTACTGCCAACTAAGGCTGTTACGATTCACTCACATATTCGGTGAATCGAACTGTAGCCCTTCATGAATTCAATTTGTTGTTCGTGGTCATCAGAACCGAATATTAACGATTGTTTTAAGGGAGCATGTTTTACTTGAACCCTAATGTAATATTTCAAAGTGAGATATGAAAGAATGGAATATGTACTAGCCTTGCAGTAGCACAAGTCATGTTAGTTTGTCAAGGCTGCTATTGGTACTGTCGACATACCTAATTAGACTGTCATGAGATCACTGGTTATTGCTGTGACAAATATAACACTGTCAACATGGGCGTTCCATATTGTGCATCAATGACTAAACTACAATATTGTATTCGTGAATAATTATTCGTTAACCAATATTTGTGATGCATATCATATTCGCCACATAGTGTATTCGTTGCAGCCCTACTGCCAACTAATCATTTATTTTAATTTGGTACACAATAAACTATAGATGAACTAAAATAGCATGACAGCCTATGTGTAATATCCATGTTCTTAGCCCTATGGCATTTGGTATGCAAGATTTTAGTAAATCTGCAAATAATATTTGATGTTCTACACTTAACATACGATATTATGAAGAGCAAGGTGTAAACACGAAAGTATTATCTGGTTATAAACATTAGTGCCTGGTGCTCAAACTTAAGGAATGTTTTTCTATTGCAAAATATTACACAACATGTTCGAATCGGCGAGTCTCACAAAAGCATATAAAGGAATGCACGGTTCTCTTATTTTGACAATTAATTTTCACCTCAAACACCGATGTTTGGAGTTTACCACACCATGCCAGAGACTAAAGGATCCTTTATAAAAGTAATTTCAACATGTAAAAACCAATCATAAAAGGAGCTTAATGAGTTCTTTGTGTTTGTTTTCTTATTTCTTGCTCACTCTGTTTACCAATATGGCGGTCATGCAAAGTCATGCGATTTTCTGGTACAGGAAAACGTGTCTGTAATCAGCAGAACTGCTATGTACGGAGAATATACTACAACACATACTTCCAATGATACTTACTAAATTATTCTGCCGAAACTAGACAGGATAGTTCGGCAAAGAACGACAAAATAAGTCCCAAATAATTTGGACACGCAATCCAGGGAAAAAATGATCACAAATCTGTTGATTATCTGCCCCTCGAACCTTCATTAGCCACGACTACCAGGGGGCGCAGCAGCATTGTAATACTAATCGATAAATATGTAATAGCACACTTGAAAATAATGTTGAGACTGCGTCTCGAATATCGGGTGTATAATGAGTTAAATTGAGATTTGGTAATTGTTTTAATGAAATTGTTGGGTATTTTCTAACCATGAAAATGCATTTGGGATTGTACCCTACCACCATAGAAATGAACTGACTTTTTAACTTCTTTGATAAAATATAGTGTACGCACATGCAGTTATACAAGTTATGATCAGTTAAAGTTGTTAATCAGTGTGAAATAAGTCAAACAAACTTTCCGATTTAAAATGAACTCCATTAGCACACGCCGTTCATTTGTTCTGTTAAATTGTTATTTCTCAATGTGGAATAGCTTCATAATACACCGAACAACTAAGTTTTAAATTGTTACATGAATTTTGTTTCTTTAGGCACTAGATCTATATATTTTACATAATTTCGGCTAGTTATTTCTACTGGAATCTTTCCAAGCTTGGAATAACCACCAACCAAATTGAGGGCGTTTAAAAGTAGACATAAAGAAAATTTTGTGTTCATGAACTGTGGTCATGAAGCGTAGTTGTTTAATTTCATACTGAATGTATTCCAAACTCACATGATACTAACAATAATAACGCATTCAAAATGTACCCCTAACCTCAATAGCAATACTCCATACTTGATTAACAGTTTTATAGGCTCCGTATGTTGGTGCATAAGGTACCAAGCAGCATTTGAAATTATGAACAGAAATATATCTCTTAAATATTATGCATGTTTACCAAAACATTGCTTGACTGTGCCGATACGAACATTTGGATTCGTCTGTTATCATGGATGGAAATATAATGTGAACTATCCATCAGTTTATCACCATGGCCTATATGACGCATTTTCACGCACACCCGTTAGAGTCTTTATGCCATATATGGCCATACATGGTACAAACCGTTAACTAGTTGTCAGCAAATAGTATACGTGCATCTGTTACTAAAAATAGGCGAGAAACTTCTTTACTTGCTAAAACAAAGATAAACTGTTGTGTATAAATAGGAGGGTGTCGTTTCAAGTGTCTAAATGGTTGATGCTTGCATGCAGAAACCAAGATGTTACACATATTACATTTCACAACAGAATAACATGGATAAAATTTTACCGACTAGTACAACCTTATGGTCACATGACCTGGTCTTCAGAAAACAGAAAGTATACAGCGATCGAACGTAAAATAGATTCACACTGCGAAATTGAAACAGCCATCGCTATGTCTAAACAAGGTAAATCAAAAGCACAGATATGCCCATAAATGTATCATATATTTCAACACTCTGTGACTGATCTCTCTAGGAACAAAAAGATAGTTCTTCAGAAGAATCGTTCATTCAAAGAATGCGAACAATTTTACAACAGTAAAACACCAACATGGAATTCCAGTGATTGGAAAAACAAGAACGAAGCAACCGCTTTATAAATGATAAATATAGGTTACGATACAGTAACGTTTGTTTTATATTGTACTGATCCGAGTACGTGTAGATTTATGTCTAATACTCATCTACCTTTGTGATGAAAAACATTAATTTCGATCTGAACATAGGTCTGATGCTCAACAAAGGAGATACATACATGTGTCTATCCACCATATTTTATTCTAATATTTGTCATTTTGGCAACTTCGTCACTTCAAATGGATGGGTATGGTGAAATGAACTCAAGTTTCCTTTCACTATCTTTTCCTGAATGTAAAATTCATGTCTTGAAGAGGGATTTTAAATATGCCTGTTTACATCAAAATTCATATTAGAAATTCACTCAAAGACTGCACATTACATACTATCTTCATACACCATGCAATGACTTGATTTATTAACTGGACTGCTTAGATAATGTAGGTCAGTCAGTTGTGACATTTTTATGATCTATTCCCCTAGTTTGAAAACAATTTCTATGTAGATATAACTGCATTTAATTTCATGCTCACTGTTACATGTGACAGTTTCCAAATCGCTCATGAAATTAAGCTGATCATCTGGTTTCAGACTGGACAGAGCTGAAAAAAACTCAATGTTAAAGGTCATATATATTTGGACGTAATGTGTTGCTTCACCAAGTTGACTTCATGATTTATCCAGATGCCACAACATTTGAATGAATGAATAATTTGTCTAAGAGAGAAATATGAAACTGAAACAATGAGTTTTCCAATATTTCTTGAGCTGACACATTGTACTTGGAGCACATACACTTGTTTTGTTCTCTTGAAGCTTTACAATTGTAATAGTCTCTTGTTTGGTCTATCCCAAGAACATATCCACAGAATACAAAATTCTTTGTGACCTTTCAACACCAGGCCCTATTCCACAAAGCGATCATAGTGCTAAGATGATCGTAACTCCCATACTTTAACATAGACTTACGACTGTCGTAGTGCTACCATCGCTTTGTGGAATCGGGCCCAGATAGCTCAGACTGCCTCGTGGAGTTCACTAACTATTACATTCCACCAGAAGCCTCAAGTCAGAGCATTAACGCCTGCTGATCAGTGTCTCCTTAACAAACATCACATAGTCACAGAATATTTGCCTATGCATCTGCATTTTAAAATTTTTCTGTCTGCCAATATCTTCATTCCAGGTCTCTTCTGACATAACTACTTATACTTCTTCTGCAGCTCTTTGAGCTTGCTCTCACAGTTGGATATGGCGCTGTAGAATTGTCGATTATTATTTACTCAAACTACTGAGGCGGTGTTTTTATAGTGAGGCAGGCAGGATGTGAATCTGATAATTAATATATTATGGCCTTAGTTTAGAATTTTAACCATGATGATTTAACGAACAGTGACAGACTTTTTAATTTACATCATTATTGTTATTTGTGATTAATGTGAATTTGTTAAGATGTATTTCCAGAAATAACTGGTCTGATTTGTATGATTGATATGTAAAATAGCATGACATATACTGGTGTATATACTGGCAACAGCATCAGTGCCATTTGTGGCATAATATTATCCCCATATCCAATATCTGGTGACCCAGACCACCGGGGTCATATATAGAGAATACTAAACGACCTTCTGTGTAATGCCATTTTTATTAAACCAGCAAAAGCATATGCTTACAAACAGTATAAGAATCTATACCGAAACGTCACCATTGTCAAAATAAAGAAGTTGATCATCCATAAAAGTTTGTCATCTCTGAGCGAAAGCAAGTTTGATACTAAATCTTTTGCAAGTTTAATAAAAATGGCATTTCACAGAAGCAAGTTTAGTATTCTGTGTATTACTCTCTAACGTAAATTGATAGAAACTGCCTACAGTGCGATGACTTTCAGCTTTCCATGAGTCATGCAAGGTCTAATACCATTGTGTCAGAGGTATAAGCATTGTGACGTCATAACTGTAAACCATTATGACGTCATACATCTTGCTGTATTACACTAGTGTATATTGCCGTAAAAATATGACACTTCAGTGCCTTCCACGGGCGAGTAATATATAGTTAGAATGTCAAATAATCATTATAGAACATTATCGGTCAGAAGTGTCACAGTTCATTGTATAACAGGGGCGGTGGGGTAGCCTTGTGGTTAAACTTGTTCACTCATCAAGCCGAAGGCCCAGGTTCGATTCCCAACATGGGTACAATGTGTGCAGCCCATTTCTGGTGTCTCCCACCATGATATTGCTGGAATATTGCTAAAATGGTACATATGACACATATCAATGACTTGTCATCATTAAGTATTGAAAGCGATGCCAAGAAGGAAAATGTCAACAGTCACAGACTAACATAATAATCAGATTTTGGAAGTTTATTCTGGATTTCAAGGAAGGTGAACATTTTGCTGCACTAAATTCTCACAATGTGGGCCATTCAGAACATCTGACGACCATTGCTAATAATATGACTGATATACAATTTTTCTCAATGTGTGGGTAAAGTTAAAGAGACAGTTCATTCTAAACATGAGTCATGCCTACTGACTTTTGAATTTTTGCAGTCCTCACTTGACAGGAAAGCTTGCAAAATATGATATGAAATAGTATTTCCTTAGAACTATCTGTTTCGTTATTACATCAGATGCCTCTATTTTCTTTGAAAAGAATGAAAAATACCTTGACCTCGTGTTTGGACAATGACATCTCAGACGTCATGGTCATGTTTTGACAAAGTCTTTGGTGCAGTTTTTAAGGCATCACATTGTGTATCACTATTGACAATATGTTGAGGATGCAAACAGTAATAACGATCCAAGAAAATCCACACAGGAAGTGCTCTTACCATATTAAAATTAATACTTTGATTTGTGAGTGCATTGATTTGAAAATTTGATGAAGTTACAATCAAAACAAACATTGTTTGGATGTCTGGATATTTCATTTGATTTTTCACATTGGAATTAATTCAAACACTGTACACCATCATGGCCACACAAAAATCAAATATATGCCATTTAAAAATTGAAAGTGCAATGGTTTGGCTTAGGATGAACTCTCCTTTGTGTCTACTGTCAGCACAATCAGTCACTCTACCTTTGCTGACATCATATTAATGATGTAGTATTACTGTATAAGATCGTAATACACCAAGTTACAGCTAATGAATAATATACATCAGGTTAGTGAATCTTATGCTCATATCATGAACACATTGATATCTTCTATAGCTGCAATTTACTGTGACCCTTTGGTTACTTCTTGATCAGTGGGGTGACCTTGTGTGAAAAAAGACTTTGCTTGATGCTATAGTATTTAAATCTCTGGATCCATCAAATTTTACTCTTTGACATGAGAGTTATCACACATTACCCTTAAATCTAAAGCTCAATTTTGAACATTGATAAAACATAGTAATATAATTGAACCCTAACTTTTGTTACATTCCAGATCCCAGCAAAGCCCAAGGCATGCCTCCCCCACAATATGCCTACGGTGCTCCCCTCCAGCAGCAGTATGGATCTCAGCCCCCACCGTACAGCGCCGCAGCCCAACAGAATGCCGCAAGCTACAGTGCATCCGCTTCTCCACATGATTCTGCCTACCTTGCCTCCATGCAGGCCCAGGCATACCAAGCCCAATCTCAATACGTCCAACAGCAGTACATGCACCCATACACTCAGATGCCACCCATGCAGCATGGATATGGTGAGTATAGATCATAGATGTTTAGTGACCTGGCAGTTAGGATAACAGATTGGCCTGTCACAATTGCTCAGATAACTGGCTGTTTCAAAACTTTCATGAAGGTCACTAACTAACCATTCTTACAGAGCGTTGTCAATGCCTGACCATGTTTTGCTGTCATGCCATGACTGTGTCAATTATTTGATCACAGTTGACCTGTGAAGATCCGGGTTAGAATTGATGTTCAGTAACCCATGCTTGTCGTAAGAACTGACTAATGGGATCGGGGGGTTAGGTTCACCGACTTACATGTCATCGTATCCCAGTTGTGTAGATTGATGCTCATGCTTTTGATCTCTTGATTGTCTGGTCTAGACTTGATTATTTACAGACCACCGCCATATATCTGGAATATTGCTGAGTGAGGCATAAAACTAAACTCAGTCACTGATCACAGTTGATAAAGATTTAGTTAAGAATAATGGTGTGGCTAGTGATCTGGGGCTCGTAACTCGAAGCAGTCTTTAAATCTGCTCCTAACGCATGGTTAACGAACGCTTTAGTAACATCGTTAAACAAATTAAGAAGTGTATCACAAAGTATTCGCTAAACAATCCTTCAGCATTCGTTAGGCGTTCCTTAAAAAAGCGTAACTCAACATATAGACAGCTTAAGGCAAGGTTAAAGACGATGGGATTCCCTGTGAGTCACATGGTTGCGTAGCACACATTGTGCAATGGCAGACAGCACGACAATTCAGCATACTGCAGGCAGTGCTAGACAGTTACATGTGACACCTTGTACTGTTCCATCTGTTTGGATAGTACTTTTAATGAAGTTGAGAAACTTTTTGAGTTCACTCAGAACACTACCGACAGTTTGTTCATTGACCGCAGCACATTATTGGTAATCTGCGTCATTTGCCGCTCTATTCAACATCTTCATTGCTATCTTGGTAGAACTAATTTAGATAAATCCGACATTGCTACAGTTCTTGAAATTTCCAATCTTAAGTGTAAAACGTGTTCTAATATTTAGTTGAAATGGAACAGGACAACATTTCACAAGAGCTGACAAAGGGAAAGAAAATTCGTAAAGCCCGGTTTAACGACGAAGAGAGATCAATTCGCGTACAAGAATTTTCTAAACATAAATACGTTTTAGTCAACAAATTTCAGACACTGTTACTCTTCAAAGAAAACAAAAGGCTTTGGAAAAAATCTGCAATGCCGTTAATAGCGTAAACCCGTCAGTTATGAACAATTTCGGAAATTAAAAAGGAATGGCAAGACATAAAATCATCCACTAAAACAAACGAAGCATTACGAAGTAAAGAAATGAAGAAAACTGGAGGCGGTAAAGTTTGTTGTGATACCCTGGACGAAACTATGCCTTGCATAAAATATATTAGTCAATATACTGGTAAAGTGATAAGCTTTGGCTGACTCCTATTATTTCTGGTTTTTTTCCATGTCCTGCCAACCCTGAATTTTCATTCTGACATAAAGTAATAAAAAGTCCTCTCATGTTAATTTTCCCCACCGTTGTGGAATTTGTGCCTTGATTTAAGAAAAAAAAAGTAGTCCTGCCATTGCATACTCATAAAATTCCAGGTCTTACTTCAGCTGTGTTTATTATAAATTCATTTCCTAGTCAAAGCAACTCAGTCACATCATAAATTACTTAAAAGTCTGGTGCAAGGTTGTTGAGTCAAGCATGTGTGGTGCATCTTCAAAATGTTACCAGTCTTCCTGAAAGCTCCATGCTTTGATCTAGGAATCATTGAACAACTCAATGGACAGTAGAATATGCATTTAGATTGCAAAGTACACTTGTCAGAAATAGCTATTCCTAGCAAATTTGTGGCATTAATGGCTGCAATTCATGAATGGTTGCACTTCGCAAAGGGGGTAATTAGACAGTGGGTGGTAGATTACCTTTGGCAAACTAACAAGGATTGTTGATATTAATAAAGGTATGCAGGGACTAGGAAATAGAAAGGTCATGAGTCAAAGTGACATCAAGGCAGTTTGGTAAGGTTCAGGTAAAAAGATGTTTAGTTTTCAGTAATGGTCAAACACCCAATGTCCTTCCTCTGGTATACACAGCTGAACTAAGAATAAAGGAAACCGATGAGATCGTTAAAATATCCTCATATCCTGAGGGCACATGATATTTCTGCTCTATAATTGATTATTTATAGGCCGCCATTCTATTGTGTGAATATGCTGATCTCAGCTGTTAGCAACAAACAGTAAAATGTTATGACATGTATAGTTGGTCTGTCACATATATATATGATCTGTCATACTGCCATTGTTTTTCAGTGTCTGCTTCCTCCTCTGCCTACCCACGCCAGCAGTACATGCCAGTCATCCAGGCCCAGGGTGTTTCTCCCCACGGACCCCCTCCTCCTTACTCACCAGTAAGAAGAACAATTACATGCTATACTACCTTCTCACCCCCAAACTCTAGCTTATATCCTCCAATTTTCAAATCGGATTGAGACTTGTGTAAATATAATTGAAAACTGTTCAGTACTTGCCACACATATTTCACAATTCAATCTTACAAATTGTGTTTATCTTTTCGTTTGTTTTATTTCTTTGTTTTTAGGTAGAAACCTAGACATGAAAAGCAAGTAATAATAAGGATGACAGATTTATTCAAAGCACTTGTCCTGAGCTGACATGTAGATTCCATGAATTTGTAAATATATCAGCTTTATGTTTAATGATTTGAAACAGTCAGTTATATAAATACATTTACTTGTGGATTGCCACTTGTGCCAGTTGGTACTGGACCCGTGAAGATCCGGGTTAGAATTGATCTTCAGCAACCCATGCTTGTCGTAAGAGGCGACTGATGGGATCGGGTGGTCAGACTCACTGACTTGGTTGGTACATGTCATTGTATCCCAATTGCGTAGATCGATGCTCATGCTGTTGATCACTGGATTGTCTGGTCCAGACTTGATTATTTACAAACCGCCATCATATAGCTGGAATATTGCGGAGTGCTGCGTTAAACTACAAACCAAACCAACCATTTGGGACTTGGCAGCTTTGTAGCAGACAGGTGGGCATGTGAATATGTCATTATCATAGTGTCCCTATGAGACACCTCAGGTACTCCTTTGGATTGTTGAGAAGCTCCAACTTCCCTTGAGTACTTCAGCAGACCTGGATCACTCTTATACTCTTAGGAACCTGGATTGGTCTACCATCACCCTACCACCTCGACCTTGTATTCTGAAATTATCCAGTACACTAAATGATTGTTTCAAGAGCCTGAAACGAATTAAGAACGGATTCTCTGCTCCCAGATACAAACTCCGGCTCATCTTCAGAAGGAAGTTATTCAATGCCCGATTCCTGCTTCCATGGCCTCACTTCAGGATGGTGCCGATCAACCTTTTACGCACCATCCTGAAGAAGGGAGACTTCCTCATCAGCCTAGATCTTCAGGATGCTTATCTTCACATTCTGATACATCCAGAACACCGGAAGTACCTTACTTTGTGTTCAACGGGAATCGCTAACAATAGAAAGTCCTACCATTTGGAATGTAAACGGCCCCGTGGCTTTTTACCCGAATTACCAAGCCCATAACGAGCTTCCTCCACTTTCAAGGGATCACCTTCGAAAGCTACATAGATGATTGCATCCAGGCTAAACAGGATCCGATCGTATTGCTTCGCCAGCTACAGTTCACCACCACGCTGCTCAGACAGTTAGGGTGGCTGTTGAACTTCGCGAAAGCGGAACTAATACTGACTCAGAAACTCACAATTCACCGGAGCACTGTTCAACACCGTCAGGGGATGATGTTCGTACCTCACGACAGGTGGATAAAGATTCAGCAATGCATTCCTCAAGGACTGTTTTAGGCAAGAACCTTATGACAGTGGCAGGAGCTACTGGGCCTTCTGACGTCAGCTCAAGCCTTAACGTACAGAGGCTAGCTCCAACTTCGGCCGATACAGCGATTTCTACGCCCGAACCTTCAGGCCGACAACCCCAAGGAAGTAATTTGCCTTCCAGACCTTCAATGGTGGCTCGACGAACGGAATGTTTGCGCCGGAGTCTCTATGATGCCCTTTGCACCGACTCATCACCTATTCGTCGATGCATCCCTCATGGGTAGGGGAGCTCACTTCCTCGACCACCAAGTGGCTGGGCTGTGGTCATCCGATGAACGGGTACTTCATATAAACGAGCTGGAATTCAAGGCGGTAATTCAAGCCATCTCACATTGGGCAACAGAGCTTCAATCAACCAGTCTGTTGATCCAATCAGACAATTCGACGGTGGTTTGGTATATCTAGGTCATCTAGGCTCGACAGGCTCGGCGAATCTGCTACAATGGGCGATCAGGTTCTTCCATCTCATCAACTCACTCAACATCGTAGCCAGAGCCAGACACATTCCCGGGTTAAAAAATGTGATCGCTGATGCCTTGTCCCGATCCAACCGACCGTCCCTGACAGAGTGGAAGTTACTGCCCCAGATCTTTCAGTCGATGATCTACCCGTTATCACGGCCTCAAATAGATCTGTTCACCACAAGGTTCAACAACCAACTTCCAAAGTTCGTATCACCAATCCCAGACTCCTTGGCGTGGGACCTCGACGCGTTGGCAATATCATGGGAGGGTCTCAATGCCTACGCTGCTCCCCAGCTCTGCTACCAAAAGTAATACAGAAACTATTGGCCACCAGCAACATACTACTTCTTTTGGTCGCACCCTTCTGGCCAGCAAGAAGTTGGTTTGTCAACCTAAGAAGCCTGGCAGAGCCAAACCCAGTACCGCTTCACAACTGGGACGACCTACTTCTTCCCCCTCACTCGGAACTGCGCCACGGGTCACCTCAGACCCTCAATCTACACATTTGGCGCATCTTCAGAGGTCTCTCATAGCTAAGGGCTACTCTCACCGAGTAGCCACAGCTATCACTTCAGCACATTGTACTTCGACCCGTTCCTTGTATGACAACAAGTGGAAGAAGTTTGAAGATTATTGCAAGCTTAGGGGAATTGCATCTCCCACTTCCACCTCGGCTCAGGTCGTTGCTGAGTTTCTCCAGCATCTCCGCTCTACTAAGATACTCAAGGGTACTACGTTAGCTACCTACTTAGCCGCCATCAACTCGGTTTTGGCTACCACCACGGGCACGAAGATTTCCACTGTTCCCGAGTTGCAGAGTCTACTACACTCCTATAGACTCTCTGACCAGTCCAGGAAGTTCAGACCTCCGGCCTGGGATCTGTCCGTCGTCCTTCGTCATATGATTTCTACAGATTATGAACCTTTAGAAGACAAGGACTTCGAACAAGTGACATTCAAGACATTCTTCCTGGTAGCTTTGGCTACCTCTGCTCGTATATCTGAACTGCATGCTCTTGATGTCAATCGGGTGCGGTTCGAGCGGAAGAAGCATGGCAAGGCTTTCCTGGGTCTCCGCTGGGACTTCATTGCGAAAAACCAACTGCCAGGGCAACCAGACCGGATGTTTACCATTCCCCCGTTGTCCACCATTCTTGGGCCTGATGATAATGAAGATTTGACACTCTGCCCTGTTAGGGCTCTACACGCTTACCTTGCTTTCTCCAAGGATTGTCGACGGCTACGGAAGCTCCTCTTCATACCCGTGTCGAACGCTTCAAGAGCTGAGGTTTCCCGGACCACATTGGCCTTCTGGATGCGTGTCATGATCTTGCGAGCCTACACCTTTGCAGGGTTGCCTCCTCCAGCCGTTTCCAAACCTCATGAGACTCGTGCACTAGCCTCGACGATGGCCCTCCATAGCAACTGCTCCTTGACCGCTATCACGGAAGGTTGCTTCTGGCGTTCTGATATGGTCTTCTCTTCACATTACCTGCGAGACCTGTCTGTCACGGATGTCCAGGGACTACACCAGTTCGGACCTCTTGTACTGGCTCAGCAGCTTACATCGGCCCAACAACGCAGATGAGGGACGGTTCCGCATTCGCGTTACTACTTCCTTGTATATACTTAATAAAAGTTGAACTGGATCTCAACCTTTTGTTCTCATTATATGGGTTTAAGAACTACTTCACTTGGCCTCCATACCAAGGCATCGGAATGCGGCCACTTAGTGTGGCCCTACGGACCTGAGGCACAATCAGTATGACGATGCAGAGGTGTTCGACATTCACGCTTACTGACCTCTACTCCACGGAGCAATTACGTCAGTGAAGTGCGACACTCCCAAATTCCAGTGGATTTCGTTGCGTTCTGCCTCCAAAGTTGCCGGGCACATCCTTTGACTAAGCTTAGTCAAAGGAGTGAGGGTCAATTTGATACTGAACGTTAAACCTTGGAGATGCCAAGTTGTGTTTCTCTTTCACCCGCCTTGGTCGGTGTCCGGGGGGGGCCTTCTTGAAGCAGGGGATGGCCCGATTCTAGTCGCAAGACTTTAATTACGGTGGAACCTTGTAAATCGTGGCGAGGCGAGGCTTACTTGCCGAGTTGCGTCCCTTGTCTTGTACAAGGTTGCGGCCGAACACCACATCGCCCGGGAGCACCCATCTCCCTGGGAGTCGTTGTGCTTAGTAAGCCAAGGGGTTCCGGAGAACCCACTACAAGCATAGGAGTTGCGTGCATGCATAACAGGCCTTGGTTGTACATCGCTATCTACGGTTGTCATCAGTCCACACAGCTCCAAGACCAGCTGTTCGCACTGTCCAGACAGAAAGGTAATCTGCGGCCCGCCGTCCAACTGTGAGATAAGTGCAAAATTTCCAAATTTTTTAAACTTATCCTATCTCACGCGATGGATGCCCGCCTGGCCTCCCCACTACTCAGATTACAACGTTGGCTCCAAGATGAGAATGATCATTCAAGGTAGTCACGTGGGCAATTAGTGGAGCATGCTGCAAGCTTTAATAGGAACTAGGCAGCTAATTAAGGAGAGCAGCATGGAGTGCACGGGCGAATGGACAAGGAGGCTTATGGAAAAAGGTTTACAGTCGTTCCACTAAAAGTCGAAGCAAGAGAGAGAGGTTCAAGTCGTGAGACAGGATAAATATATAAATATACAATTTATATTGAAATGTCCAATTTTGTAGTTTTTTATGTGATCATTTGTACACAATTATGTTTCTGCTTTTAGTTTGAAATCCAGTTAAATCATATTTAGTGTCCCTAGCAACATGAATCCCCCACATGGTTGTCAAATCCCTCAAACTGGCTTGTGGCAGGTCTATTGCTATTCGTTTCCTTTTTTTATTTTTGGCCATAGTTGGCACAGACATCCTTGACCTTCTATTATGAGATCTAAATTGAAGGAACTATCTGCTTCATGCCATGTAACAGCAGGGTATGAAACTCCCATAAATTTCAGCCAGACCACAGGGCTGGTTAGATGTAAAACTTGCCAGCCCTGACCAAAACTTACACGCC